CGCCTTTCACTCGCCCGCCTTTTCGCTACTTTTCTTTTGTACCTTTTCCCCGTGGCCCCCGCCCCCTCGGTCTGTATCCTTTATCTCTCTTTTTCGCCGACCCCTCCCGTTTCGTTGCCTTCTATTCGTCCTATTATTCCCCTTCTCGAGACCAGCCGAGACGAACGCTCTAAGGCGCTCGCTCCGTTCCTCGCTCGACGAAATGCCCGACGGCGAAGCAACATATTTCGCGATAAGTTTATGACTCCGCGAGAAAAGAGGGCGAGCGAACGGGCCGTGTCGCAGATGTCCACGAGTCTCCCTCCCTCTTGAGCCGCTTAACACGCTTTTGTCGGGCTGTTTTTCGTTAATACTGCACAGAGCGATCTGGGAGTGCGATTCAATGTAAATGATAGCGCGATGCGAGCAGTAAATAATTGTGCGGGTGAGAGTTGATTAATCATCTCGAAGAAGTTTGATCACTGAGATTATAGAGTCTCTTGAGTGATTTAAAACAGGCTGAGTGCATCGTGTTAGAAACGTTGATAAACATTGCCTTACGATCTATTTCATGACTTAAAGCTTGATATACAAAAATTGCCTGATAAGAAAGAAATATTCATCGGCAAGTAGCATCTCTTTTCGATTGATCACTGTTTGGTAAATTTATTCATTAAACTTCGAAACCTTCCACTACCTTTTTCGGCTTGACAGTGTAGGTTCGTTTGAATCACCGTTGAAGATTTATATACAAAAACTGTGGAGAACTCGATGCGAGGTGTGATAAAAATTCACTGGCCGCAGGTTAACCGAGCCCCGCTTTTAATTTAATGGAAGCCGTAGGACATGTGGGTGGATCCAGCGATTTCGTGGGGAGCCTTCTGTGGCAGGCTGGCCCTCCTAGAAATCTGCACTTACAATCGACCACATTTGCGGTATTACAGCTTACTGCGAACGGAATGGCGGAAGGGATAGGGGGGTTGGGGACCGTGAACGGCATTTGGAAATCATTGCCGATCGGAGAGAGCGGGAAGCAGTTGTAATGCTCTCAGGCGAACGATACAAAGTGAAAGGATCCTCGTTGGGGGCTGACTGTAAAGGGCCCGGCGCGATCTTTCTTTTTCTCGATGGTTCGAAAATGTTTCTAATAATGTATAAAGTCTGATTTACAGCCTCTGTCGAAGAAATATGAATACTGGACTAAGTACGTCTTGTATATAAACGTTTTTAATTACTGTGGAAAATATGTGAAATAATTGTTAGCGGATAATAGAATTAGGTTTATTAATTATGTGACATTAATTGATCTTTGCATTATTTTGAACAGGATAGATCCAGTTGTCATGGTGTACTTACAATGTATGATAACAATGGTAAAAATTGAGTATTTGAGTGTCCAGCGTTCGACGTTTAAAGTATGAGGAACAATATAAAATAAAAATATTTAGAGACTAAGTTGAATACACGAGAATTTAGAACAAATGGTGACGTCACCTGACGGCGAAACGCGCAACTGTTTCGATCGACAAGTTACCAAGCTATGAAACAGAGAATAATTGTTAGAAGAATTGTAATTTATTGAACAAATTGGTGAATAAACGGGTGAAAAACAAAGTGGAGTTAGAATATTAATCGTAAGTTTTCTGTCCAACCAAAAGTGATGTGAAATTTATAAAATTTTTATTTAACAGTCGACACGAATAATTCTTGCCGTTCTGTGAGTACCAAATAATGCATGTTACAGCAAGAATCATCTGTTCCCGAGAAATTGCGCTTTCAACTAATAGCGACATCCGTAGCAAAATTTTCAAACTGGTAGATAAATGTTACTGATATGGAAGTTCACGCGAAGAGACTAGTAGCGACATCTGTGGGAAAACGTTCACACTGGTAGATAAATGTTACCGATGTGGTAAGTCACGCATAACAGAACAACGATTAACAAAAATTCAAGCTCAGTTGAACAGAAAGGAGAGTAATTTCAATATTGTTCATTTGTAATTACTGACATAATGTAGAACATTTAATTTCAATATTGTTCATTTGTAATTACGGACACAATATAGAATAATTAAATGAACGTTTAAGAAGACACTTGAGTTGAGGGGGTGCATTTAATGTGTGCATGTGTGTATGCAGTATGCGTGAGAACGAATCCCAGGGTCGGTGGGCTAAAAGCATGTGTGCATGCAGCTTTAAGGGGCTAGTTGATCAGAGTACATAATATACTTCAGCAGTTGGTCGTTCGATTTAGGTAGAGGCCGCTAGTGTATCTGGGCATTTTTTAAGGTTTAGTATTTTAGAACAATAGACAGAAAGATACATTGTATGTACAGTTTGTACATAACTTAAGTCTGTGAGGTTTGTATGTTGGTTTACCATATTTACTACTTGGTCAACTTTGATCATTTTGCTTGATGTAGTTGTCCTATTCACCATTTTTTAGGCGTAGAGGGCAGAGCAAAACCTCTGATTTTTTACACAGTCGGTAATTCAGAACATGTGATACTGAGCCCCATAAGCTTGCAGTATCTATCCTATACCTCATCTGTGATGGTACTTTACCCACGTATGTGATTTGATAATGTTTTTAATTAGTTGATATTAAAGATAAATAATTAATATGAACATTTTTATATTAACTATCAGCTTGTTGTTGCTTGTTCAATTTTCGGAATGTACACTATCGCCGCCAAAGGGAAAAGCTAATAAAAAAGGCAAAGGAAAGATTGACAGTAAGGTAAAGGAAATTAAATTACAAAAATATGTTATGTATCAATTGTTCATGATTTTATTTAATTTAAAATTGTATTTGTAGAAAGGTCCGGGCGATCAAGATGTTTTTAGTCGATCATTAGTAGTGAAGAATCCTAAACCCCATGATATTATTCGAGAATCTGGAACTTATTTTTCCAATACAACTAACAGACGATTTAAAGGAGAGGTTTTAGGATATATCACACCGGTATGTTTATTTATTTACAAATAAAATTACTTATAAGAGTGGTTGAACATTTGTCTTGAAATAAGTACATTAATATTCATTAATGCTACTGATTTACAGATACTATTGCTAATATTTTTGTTCTATTTTATTAAGTCTACAGAGTATGCAGAACATAATTTGTTAAGTTAATATCTACTTTTTTTAGTGGAATAACAATGGACTTGAAATTTCTAAAACATTTCATGGAAAGTTTACAATGGTATCGCCTGTCTGGTTGGCATTTCCAGAAGGCAATGCTTTTTCATATAAATTATCGACGCATGATATCCAAAAGAAATGGTTGAAAGAAATGAGAGCAGCTAATAATGAAGACCACCACGTGAAAAGTATATAAAGTTAAAATTATGATTATATAATCTATTTGTTGAATATCTTTAGAACTATATAAATGCCCTTTTAGTCTTGCCAAGAGTGCTATTTGAACATTGGTCGGTTAAGGATATTATTGGATTATACAGTGACACTCGCAAACAAATTGAGCTAATTTCTGCTTTTATCGATACTGCAGAGGTGATTATAGAAAAATATATAATGAAATAAATATTTTGAGAATTATTATAAAAACTATATTATTTTGATTCAGGCTTTTCACTTTGATGGATATGTTTTGGAAATGTGGAACCAATTTGTCCTGACAGGTGTAGAAGCTCAAATTGTAGTGTCACTAATTCAAACAATTTCTCAAAAGCTCAAGGAAAACAACTTAAATACAATTTTAGCTGTACCTCCATCAAGAGGGTGAGTTTTATTTTGTTATTTTTTGTTCTATTCTGCACTGATGGATCAGTGCAAATAAAGTTACATGTTCTCCAACCTTCCAGTCCAAAGGTTCAGTTGTTCAACAAAGATCAATTTGATCAGTTGTCTCCATATGTTCAAGCCTTCTCATTAATGACTTATGATTATTCGAGCATTCAGCGACCAGGACCTAATAGCCCTATTGATTGGGCAAGAGAATGCGTGGAATTGTTAGTACCTGAAAAGGGTCCTAAACGAGCCCAAATATTGTTAGGACTTAATTTTTATGGATACAATTATACTCCTGAAGGCGGGGGCGCCATATTAGGTTCAGATTATCTGAGACTTCTTGAATCTTCTAAAGGAAAAATTCAGTGGGATGACAACAGCAAAGAACACTTTTTTGAAGCAAAGTAAGACTCAGCTTCTTTCATTCCAAATTAAAATCAGGAGTATACAAAATTTACACCTTAGGCAAAGCTACTTTGGTTGAAATATGGGGTCTATTTCAGGTCATCAGGGGGCAGTGGAATTATCTTTTATCCCACGTTATATTCTATTCTGCATCGATTGGATCTAGCTGCAGAGTTGGGTACAGGTATATCCATTTGGGAACTTGGTCAGGGATTACATTATTTTTACGATTTGTTATAAATATTTTTATACACATTAGAAATATACATAAAATTGAAAAAATACAATTACAGTTACCAAATGTTACTAAAATAGACAGTCTTAATAATAATTTAAATACCTTAATAGATAAATTCAAATATTAAACTTAAATATGTTTTTAATTGTATATTATTGTATACTTGTTTTATTAGGTATTATTATATTGTTATTGTTATTTTTTGGTATATGCTGTTCTCTTTTTTCTTTCATTGTCATCATAGATTGTGGTCCGCCAATAATATTATACATCATAGCCCAACATGACTTTGCTGGCAGTAAGCTAGCATTAAAAAGAAACTATTAATATAGTATCTACTTCTTATAAATATAGTGAATTGTAACAATTATTGACCCTTACAATTTAAGTGGAAGTAGAAACCTGACAGCTCCCGGTATTAATACAACTGCTTGATTTACTAATATTCCTGATACAACATTTTTAGCCACAAGGTCAGGTTCTAACATTTGTGTTAATCTGTAAATTATAAATACTTGCAGAGGATCCAACAAATTTGATTTATGTTTAGATAGTAGTTACCTAGGTTTCACCCCTTCAAACATCTTGGTTTTAATGTAAGAGGGACATACTAGAGTCATGTGAATTCCATCATACCCATGAGCCTACACAGTTTTCCTTTATATATCATAAAGTTTCACATAATAATTAAGGCGATAGGTGCAAGAACTTCGTTCAATTTTAGTGACACGGAAATTAATCTTTAAGATAACTTTACTCCCTTATTGCACCTCTCGCCTCAGTTACAAATAATTTAAAAATATATTTACTTTAAGTTCGCTGTAGAGGCTCTCGTGATACCCTATAGCTGCGAATTTTGTAGCTGAGTAATCAGTGCATTTGTAAGTTCCAAGAAGTCCAGCTATACTGGCCACAGTCACGATGTGGCCATGATTGTTTTTCATCATATCCTTCATGAAAGCCTTAGTAATCTGTCGAGTGACGAATATTCATTAAATCCATTACATACATTATTGATGATCGTGTTTAAATCTACCCACCCAATAATGTGAAAGTATGTTAATCCTATAAGTACGTTCAATTTCATGATCAGGCAGGTTCAATAACGTTTTTCCACATACGTAACCGGCATTGTTTATCAGCAATGTTACCTATTGACATTATAACGTATTTGTTTAAAAGAAATAAATAGTAAGGTGGAAGAATAGTTCACAAGCAACATTAACTAACTGTTTTACTTTAGTCTGACTATACTACTTACTTACAGAGCCTATTTCAATCTGCACGGTCTTTGCTGTTCTATACACTTCATCTCTGTTTGTAATATCACAATGGTAACCCCAACATTTACCACCCTCTTCTCTTATTTCTCGAACCGTGTCCTTCGTACCTGTAAAACCTTACATATAGAAATATTCGTAATTTTGCAATAGCATTTGAATCAATTAAAACTTGCCAATATCGTTAATGTCCCAAATGACCACATGAGCTCCGCGTTTTGCCAGCTTCTTCGCGATTAGGCTTCCGATTCCACCTGCGCCTCCGGTTATCAAAGCAATCTCACCCTTCACAGACTTTGCACGATAGTGCCGGGGAATGAATGTTAATAAAACTGCCTCCATTATGTAAATGACTGTCATCCCCGTGAACACCAACAGATCGTATATAAATTTAGCCATTTCTAGTAGCTCCATTTGTGACTCTGAACAAGATCGATTTCATCAAGTTGGTTATACTTGTCGTTACTCATATCTCGTGCACAGTGTTACTTAATAAGTGCCAATATTAGATTGCATAACATCAATCTGTTTACGCAATTTGCAATGGAATCGCTGGATTTTAGATATCACTGCTGGCGAAACTATAAAGTGCAACGTCTATCTATAAATTCAAATTTAAATGTTACGGCTGAAAGTTTACGGCGGTCCAACGCAAGTAAAGCTCTTGATGGTTTAATTTACATTTAAATCTTAACGGTTCAATCGAAATTCAGATCTTAACGGTTTCATTCAAATCCGAATCTCAACGGTTCAATTAAAATCAGCTAATTTCGTATAGAAAGTGATCCAACTTTTCAAGATGTTACACCGTCATATCTGCGCATTAAACATTCTACGTTTTCACTGATTAACATGACTCATTTTGCGTGTTTTTCCTACCAAGCAGATTTTAGGGGAGCGGAGATCTATCCTTTTGCTTCCTTTTTCGCAAAAGGAAGAAATTACTAGTATGGCAACTTTCAACGGTAGACACAAATTGCCGGCATTACGGTACACCGATAGAAGCGGTTGCACCGGTCTACGATCGGACCTCAGATTTGCGGTTGCCGGTGTTGTTAACTACGGTCGATGCACCAAGATTCCTCACGCGAGTCCATCCATGGATGCATCGACTACAGAATTTATTCCATCCTCGTCCCCGGACACGTCAGATTGAATATTTATCGAGTCTTATCGTTCGCGAGGAATATTCTTCCGCGCGGACGTAGAATTGCGTGTCAAAATAAAGAAGAGAGTACCATTTTGATTAGTCGTTTCTCTCGACAGAAAAATTCTTTGCCGATGGACGCGAGTTCTTATGTATTCACACGAAAGAGAACAATTCATCCTGATTGCACTGTTTGAGACGTGCATGAGACACATTACAGCGTGGCGTCTGAAGATAACGTTAATATTTGTTATAACAGGTGAAAGTCGTCAAATATTCAAAGACTTCTCTGAGAAACATCAGGGAACCTTTGAAACGATACTACAAATGTTATTTCATTGAAGTTACTATCGTTACAATTCAAATTTAAATTTTGCCGGTTAAATTCGTATTCAAATTATAACTGTCCGATTCAAATTCAAATAACGATTAACGGTAGTTTTCAACGATGAGATTTGAACGAAATTTCAACGATCGAACGGTAACTTTGACATTGTCCATGAATTCTTCATACTCCGGGAGCAATTTTCTTAAAACATTAGTGCCACAGTGACGTTACCGTGAAACCGTTAGGCTTTCCGGTCACCAAACCGATATCGTCGTTTCAATTACATCACTTATTAACACTGCTTGCCGTTGATTAGCCGTCGACAAGTGGAATGATTATTTCATTATAAATTCCAGATGAATTGCTTTTTGCCTCCGTTTTTTGTCTAGTTTTACATAATTGTTTAATTACTTGCAGTAATTTATTACCTCGTTAGACACTCTTCTGAACGTATTCAAATTATGTCGAGCCAGTTGTGGGTTAACAAAACAGTTCTCAGACGGTTGCGTGTCTGTTGATCGGCCGATGTTGACTGACACTGTAACCCGCGGTACGTTCGAAATGCAAGTACCGCGATGATTTGCCGCCTAAGTTCAACCTTTGTTCAGTGACGTACGAAAGGAGTTCATGGGAGGACTTTAATAATTAGTTTGTTCAATTTTTTGTGTAATTATTTCTGATTGCTTTATTCATCTTCTTGCCAACAATTTGTCGCCAATCGCTGATTTGCTGATCACTTTTTGCAATCGACAGCGATTTAGCGTTAACGTTTAATTAACGTCATTGTTAATTTTTTCTCGTGCTGTTTATTTTTGTTCTGAACAACATATTTATTCGTGACTGTAAACTTTATTTTGATCCACGAATCATCGTACAGTTTCACTTATTCTTCATTCGCGACGTCACTGGAACCCACGGTATATACATCACTGGATTTGCTATAGTGCACCATGATGCAGAGTACACGAAAGACGTACTGGAGATTCCTAATACTCTAGAAAAGACCTGTACTATTTTATGGTGAAAGTTCCTTTGCCACTCTCTTCCTATCTCCTCCGTACCTTCTCATTATTTCACATTGAACCCATGCTCCTGATAAACTGGACTAAAATTATATAGAGCATGAAACGGAGAGGAAAAGAAAGATACAAAGAATTGCATTTGTTACTTAGAAAGTCAGCTTGAGAAATCGGTTGTTCAAAATTTCGATGATTCTCCCCTGAGAACTCGTGAAACTGAGTTCCAACTTTATAACGGTTCAATTCGGATACAAGTTGCACCGGCCGAATTCAAATTCAAATTGTAACAGCCACCTTCGAATTGCATGGTTGCGTTCGAATTCAAATTGGATTGGTTGAATTCAAATGCAAATTGTATCGGTTAAAATTCAAATTCGAATGACGCCGGTTAATATTCTATTTAAATTATAACAATTAAGTTGTAGTATGAAATTCAAGTTCAAATTGTAACGGTCAAAGTCAGATTCAGAGTGTAACAGTCACATTAATGTGTAGAACATTTCAAGATTGCTGATAACATCGGCGCAACGGTTTTCATTAAATCGAATAGTTGTTTACTTTCAGTGGGCCTTATCTTACAATTCAAGTAATTAAAGAAATCACTCCTATCGGCATTGCTATATCCGTAAATCCCGGAAAATCGTGCGCGAGGTCATTGATTTGCAATCCATTGGTAACCACGCACAGCCTTCCTTTAGGTAGAAAGTTACGAGATCCAGTGAATCCTTGCGTCGCGCGTGTGCAATACAAATATGGCGTTAGACTGCTTTATCTTGCGCAACTGTAGCGGAAATTTACTCGATTACTAGTGTAATTTCCGCATATACAAAATCACTGAATATCATAATCTGCTTAGATCCTTTCTACGCGTATAATCGGAATTCGCGTTTCAATCGCAATATAGACTTGCGGTTTGTTTGGATACTCATTACGGAAATGACAGGCGCTGTTGTCATTTGAGTACTAAATTGAATACCCCGGTGTTCGAGTACCTAACAGAACATTCAACCATAGCCAGATCAATACTGCACTAAAAACATTAACCAATAAACAATAGTGTATTCGAGTATCCAATCGAATATCATGATTCCAGGTCAACTCGATGCAATACTCGAGCTATCAACCGAACGTTTACTCAAATTGTTTACCCTCCCTCCACGGAGTACTCGACTAAACGCTAATTCCCGATGAATGAATTACTCGAATGTTTTGCTGATAATTGTTACCGGCGTATATATAATCCGGCAAGACTCGATTATCTAACAAAAACTTGTCGAGTTCTACTCTTCCGAGTGGTTCAAATGTGTCGAGTATCTGGACATGTCTAGACCACATGGGACGGCAGAGGAAATTATCGTTTGTACGGTGAAAGGATGACGTTCAAGATCTAGGTCTATGACACTCTTTCTTCGCAAAGGAACAGGAGTATACTGAAACAAACGTTTTGAAGTTACTTTGTACTTGATTTCTAATTCCCGTCCTGCCGAGTTAGAAAGACTTCCTGTGCCGTGCGCCTTCTGCGTTTCCTCGTTCTTTCACAACTCCCGGTGTCCAGGATGTCAACGAAATCGGGAAGATTGCTGGTTCTCGTTCCGTTGTCGTTAGATTATGCGATGTCATTATCGTGTAGCGGCCCCAGAAGAAGGACATCCGAAAAGCGACATGTCGCATCGATAAACATCGTTCAATTACATATGCATTTCGTTGCTTCACCTAATGAATCGCACCTGAATCGATGAATAAATGAAAGACAAGTAACAGCCCGAACAATAGTACACTTTACCACGGTCCTTCCAAGTCGGCAGGACTAATAAATCTCATTGTCGTTTTCGGTGTTCAAGGATCAACGTGAGTGTACCGTGAACGTGAATAGACACCTTAATGCATTTTTCAAGAATGCCGGTTGTCTGTTCCCCGAATGCTCGTGTAATTTCTTTCTTCTCTTTTATTCTTGGCGCTAATCTATTAAAAATTATGCGAACAGTGAAAGTAATCTTGTGCCATTTTCGTAAGTGTGTACATCCCGGTAAGAAAGTCTCACGAAATTCTTATCTGTGGAAGCAAGATGGCGTATCTGAGAGTGCGTCATGAGTGATAAGGGTAACGGGGAGTACGAAAAAGGAGAATAATTCACGTTAGTTCCATAAATGGAATTCGCGTGTTCGAAATTCGAAATTCTAAGCCGATCAGGCTCTCGATGCAGAAGGCTCCATCTGGCGGAAGAATGCAAATGTTTCAATTATACCGACATGGTTATGCAGTGTTTGGTCGACAACTTACGGTTTGCAAATTCAAGTACAAATTGAAATCTTAACGGTCGAATTCGAATTTAAATTTCCAACGGTCGGATAAATTGAAGTTATAGACTTATATGCGATGGTAGTGCTTACCCCCCAATTTTCGATTTTCGTAGAGTGTCATTCAATTTTTCTGTCCTAACTGGAGAGGAACGTAACAGTGACGCACGAAATTAATCAATAAACTTAGAAGATTTCGTTTTGCAATACACTCGGAGCTTTATGAAAGTCGATAGGCAAGAGAGAAGACCACCGTAGCGCAAATATTTGTACGTTTACGTATTTGCATATTTAATAACCGTCTAGTGGAGCAAAAAAGTTGTTTCGATGAGGATCATCGAGCTCTATTCTACTGAGGTTTACCTAACGCGAATTTCAACATGAATGTACACACGTACTGACAATTATTTCGTCATTTTTATTCTCTCGAATGCCTCAAACTTCGTATGAAGGTTTCGCTTGAATTACTCGTCACCGGCGGAGACGTTTCTCGCTAGAAAAACAGATCTAACAAAATTTGCTTCGAATTTAAATTCAAATTCTAACGGTCGAATTTAAATTTCAATTCCTACGGCGATTTAATGGGTTACTCGAGAAATCGTTAGAGAGGATTGATCGACGAATATTTGAATGGCAAGCAACAATCAATCGAAAGGGAAAACTTTCTAATTACAAGAATATGATTACGGGAGCCAGTCGTCTATTTTTTAGTCTTTTTCGCCTCTTGAGGACTGGTATCGGACGATCGAGGCAGTCGTCGGTCGCGATTTAAAGCTGGATCAACTGTCAGGACCTCCGAATTGTTTCAATGCTCACTTTCACTCATAGAGCTGCTCTGGAAAGCTGGCGATGCCATCGCGAGCCAGTCTTTAGCTCTACGAAGCACTCCGGTCTCGCCAGAAGTGAGATCTCTTATGTTCAAGATCACTTCTGCGAGCGGGATCTGTTCCTCGGATTCATCGAAATCTTCGAACGCAACGTTGAATTTCATTAAGGAATACATCAAGCAAATGCAATTCCTTCCTTGGAAATCAGGATAGGATTTTGAAATACGAATTCGCAACAGTTAAATGATAAATGATTAAGGTTCAAACAGAGCGGCACATCTTTCACGTGTTGGCGAGAACCCAACAGTTCCTCGAAACATATTGCAAGTGATTTCTTTACAACATTCGTAATATTCATCCGCCCATAATCCTTGCACGCTATTCCATATATCATTATCTCATGATAATGGGCTGCGCATGTACGTAGCCTTTTGAATTTTATTAGAAAACAAAATAATTCAAACGATTAACGCGTTGACGCAGGTGCTATGTGCCACCGGCGGCACACAGCTGATTTATAACATTAAAATAGATCAACGTTGATAAGTAAACTACTTCTCAAATCATTTCTTAACACTAACTACCGAGTAATTACACTGACTTCTTGGAATTTCTCTATAGAAAGTCGAAGGGCACATCTACTGAGACTTTAATTGATTTACAATTCAGTTTGCGTATCGCTAGATCAATTTTTTTCATAAATTCTCAGAGAAACATCTGTCTTTTTAATAATTGCAAAGAGGAGAAATGAGGTGTGGTTCATTATGACCTGTCTAGTAGTTTTAGTGTTAACATTTATCCACAGTTAGTAACTGAAATGAAAAATTGGACGCGTAACAAGAGAATGCCCTCCAACAGTAATTTTGCAAATGTTGTCATTATTTTTATCTATGATTGAAAACATAAACACCTGTTACGAGATAAAACCACTTTTTGTCCCGAATACTCATGGATTGCTTTGAATTGCTTCATGAAATAAAAATGGAGTAAAACATGTAGCACTCATCCTATATCCGAGATCATGAAAACCTGGGATGTAACATGGTAGAGATCGGTTGTAGCAGTTTCGCAATCATTCTGGGATAAGATAGTGCAACACGGCGGAATAAAGGACAAAATCTGTTGCAAGGTTCCCAACGTGAACAAAGTTAGAACCGGTTTCGGGGGATCTTCTTGGGTCTTGATCACTTTACGATTCACCTTAGGCGAGCTGCTGTCTTTGAACTGCGTGACTCTTTGAAGGACCCACGCGCATCGCATTCAACTCTTTTATGTAACGTTGCTAATACGATTATTCTAATATACGAGTTTATTACCTTTTTTTTTTGATTCTTAAACGCGGGATTTACAATCCGCGGCTGTAACGTTGACTCAGAACGCGCGTGCCTCGAATGCATAGTCGAGCGATTTCCTTGTAGAACATACGATCAACGAACAGCTATCGAATATTCGCACGACTATGCAAAATTATGTAAGTGGATTTTCTATAATTGTTATTGCTACGCGTTGCACAGTCCTGTCATGTTAATCCACTTGCTTATGTTTAATTCAAACTATTGTTACGACCCGATTAAGAATATCAAATAACTTCTTATCGTCTGTTTTTCCGCTTGTCGCGTAATTCTGGTCGTGTAACTCTTAGCTAAAATTTATATACAACATTCGAACGATCCTTATCGATACGTATGCTGTATGGACCTCCTTGACACATTAAATTTCATCGGTCTCTTTCCCCGTAGCCCGATAGTGACGGTCAGGTCGTGCTACAGGGACGAGAATAATCCGCGAAAAGCTCGCGTCCGCCCATCAATATTCCGCTCGAGAGTCTACTCTCTCCTTCGTTCAGCTCTCGCTACACAGCGATCCGGAAAACGTGGCTAAAATCCAATTATTCAACTCTAATATTTGAGAAGGAAAATTTCCTGTCGTTTAAACCATCGAATCTACACAGCTTCGAAGTCCTAACATATCACTCTTTTCCAGTAAATTCACAATCGGACACAGCGTTTCGAAGAGGAAATCGTGAAACTGAAAGTGAAAGTAATCATTTCTAATTGTTCATTCTAAAACCTTCAAGATATAGATTCGCATTATATTTCTGTGTACACGAGTAAACGTATTTGAATCATGTAATTTGATCATTGTGCCCTTGAATTTAACACTAAAACTACCTGGTGGGACAAAATTACCTATTCCTGGTTTCCTCTGTTCGCAATTATTAAAGAGGTAACAGATGTTTCTCTGAGCAATTATTGAAGAAATTGATTTAGCGATACGCAAACTGAATTGTGTATCAATTAAACTTTCAATAAATGCACTTTTGGAGTTTCTGTAGAGGAATTGCGAAAAGTCAATTTAACTGCTCGGTAGTTTTAGTGTTAATTGAGATTTTCATTCGTGTGTCAGCGATGTAAATTTTCAGACAGACTTTTAGAAAAATCCGCGTCGCTCTGCAACGCCGCGAAGGATCGTCGAGCGTTTTGTATCGAGGTGCCCGGTGATCTAGTTCGTAAATTGCAGAAACAACGAGCTCTAATGAATCTGGATGGCGCTGGTCGAGCGGCCGAGGAACGGTCCCGACCTGTTGCGCACTTTCGTGCTCTTGCTCCGTTTTCTCGCCTGGAACACGAACCTTGACGGAGCTGGGCGTTTCATTCGAATGATTTACCATAGAACACTTCGTCGATTACATAAAAGAATTAATATTCTTATCATCGTTATATTAATCTTCCCTCTAAAATACCTCATAATCACCCGATCCACGTCGCCTTGTTTACCGAAATATTCGGAGATAATAAGTTTCACCGAGAGCAAAATGCAATTTTTATCGATATCAATGTTTGTTCACCACAGAATGCGATAGATTAGTAGGATAACACGATTTTAGATAGCACGATTACGCGATAAGCTACAGAGATCAAATATTATTACGAGGATATTGTTGTCAACAACACTATCGACGATCTAAATTACCACGAACATTCTCCTCCGCGCGAAGCCAATCTCTCTTCTACCTTCAACGTTAGATTCCCCAATTCTCTTCCCCACCACCGTATCATTCCGCAACAAACAGAAGATCCCAATAACACATTAAAAACGAATTAACACGCTACCGTGCGTCCCATTACACGAAGATTAACGAAAAACTGGTTCGAAGGAGAATCAGACACTTCGACCGCTGGCAGACCAAGATCGTACCTATTCTCCTCAGAAATTCTCCGTACTCGAGGTGAATCTCTATGAATCCTCGACGGCCATTAATCGTTCTCAACCGGGAATGATAAAGAAACGGCAGGACGAGAAAAAGGAGAACTCACGTAAGAAAATGTTTTGCAGTGTCCAGTACCTGAGAAAAAGAGGGAATAGCAATAAGAAAACGAGGAAAATAACAATATCATTCGTTTTTCCTGGTGGCCCGATTACGATTCCAGGTTCAAGCTCAAAAGTTTGTGGTTGATGAATTGGTGATTTATGTTGCGGACAAAAACCGCCGGGGATCAAAGATGGCGGAAAGGTGACGCGGGAGAAGGTCGAAAAATCGAAGGAGAACCGGACCGGGACGGGTGGTTCGAGATCGATGCACGTGCGATTACCGCGTACGTATTAATGCTGTTCGCCCGTATTTCTTGGTTGATGCGCGCGGTCTGTCGTACGGTGATCGTCGAGAGGGTAAAGGCGTACCGGAGCAGCCGTTTCATTCAGTATACCGACGACCGTAGCGCCGGTGAGACGAGTTAGCATCGTTCCGCGGACGATTTTCGCATAGGTGCACACACATTCGCGGTACTTACACTACAGGACTGCACCAGCTTCTTTTCGCCCAGTTCTCACGGAATTTTGGACCCAGATTGCGGCTGACCTTGCTCCGTGAACGTCAACCGGCCACTAGTAAGAACCTTTCTCCCTTTTTTCGACCAGTTTTTTCATCTTTCGCTGGTTCTCGACCGACGTTCCGCTATACACAACCATCGCTGTCCGTTTCGCAGCGTCCAAGCGGATTTTAAAAGAATCCAGAAGCGACTCCTGTTACTCGCGGTACTTTTCCTCTGTCGAATGTGGATTCTTTGGGACAACGAGTTCTTAATGATAGCTTTTTTCTCGTAGGATACTGTCGAGTTTTACTCGTTCGCCTCGCTTTAATTGGAGTTTAAGGGAGTTTTACCTGGGTTACGCAAGACAGTTGAACTCCCCGTTATCGTGCACGTGAATGTTTGTGAAATGGTAACTTTTCCTCGGTGGTATTCGGTAAACTTCTGCCTAGTTTCCTTTCCTGTCGCGCTGCGCAACGCTGACCAGTGTTTTCCGCGTAAAGCCGCGCGTTAATCGTAAATTGGATTGCTTCGGAGTATTTGTCGGTTTTTGTTGAACGATACCTTCGTAATAGGCGGTATTTAATTTAACGGAATGCCTTTTTTGAAGTCGATTTCAAGTGGAGGCACTTTCACGTGTCACAGATAGTGGTCTTTTTCTAGATTCTTTGGTTACCGTCAAATAGTAGTTTTCTCCTCGCGATATTCTCGTCGGTCTTGACTATTTCCCTCGCCAAGTTGCCTTTAAATATCATGATACATTCTCGACGACACGATTTCGCAGCGAAAGAGGGAACTCGGGCATAACAAGGAGGCTCCTCTTTGAATACTCAATAGCTTCTTTTTAAATGATATTATCATTCTCCGAGATGCTTTGTAAAATGCAATTCATAGTTGATCGGATTCCGTAACATTTATTAAATATTCATGACGTTGCTTCCCGAGAAAGACGTTTCTTTCTACTGCAGGTTAAAATGCCCTTTCATGCTAGAACTCAGGATATATCTCCCTCGAGATTTCTCGTTTTGCAATCGTTCAATTCACCGCACCTTCGCCACGCGTTTTTCGTCGATCGAAAGATCAATTTTGCAGAAAATTATTGTAACACGTGATCGAGGCGAACACCCCCGAAGATAATTATTTTTTAGTTTATCCGAGTTTCATATTGTAGTCTGACATTTTCGAGTTTTCGCTTGAACGGTACTTTTCCTTCCGCGGTATCCAACAAATTATCCGTGGACGAAACGTCACCGGAAGATCTCGTCGAGGCAACGCGGCAGAGGAAGACCCACAGCAGTCGTAAATTAAATTCGCGTATTAAGGGGGCATAACCGGTCGAAACCTCGGAAAATACGCCTATTTTTCGAGTATGTTTAGAGTGCAACGGCGGGACAAATGTTTATTGCTTTGCCTTTGCCATTAATACAATCGTCGCATAAAAAGACGGAGCTTAAACAAATATTTCTTGAAAAAGTTGCAAGTGTATCCATACAATCTTCAATATGTTGAAAAAAGTTTCATGCGCTTTAAGCTCTGACTAGATTAAACCACCATAACCTCATTAGTTTCTCAAATTTCTACACCAGACTTCCTTTACAACGTTTCCAAAACATCAGTGTACGTACGTGTGTAAAGAAAATTATTTTTCATTGACATTTACAAACAGTCACTCCCCCGCAATACGTCGGGTTCGTTCAAGCGTTCTAAACAGTTCAGAAAGTGGCCCCGGTCTTTCATACCGAACTTCCCTCCGATCGATCCACGAGAAAGTGTTCCACGCGAAATCGACGGGGATTTATTATTCTTCGCCTCGCCGGCAACCGAAAACTCGTTCTTACCGTTCAATTTTCGCCATGTCGGGTGGCAAACATGTTTGCGCGTTTACAAATTACAAAGTGTTTTGACGAGCGGCAGCTAGAAGCAGAAGGAGAAACAGGAACATATGGCGACAATTATTGATGACGTTGGCTGGCGCTGGAAATATTAAATGTCAATTAATAGCTATGATTCTGTAATCGGCCATTACCGGTAAAACGCAAGAAAATCGTTGGAATTAATTAGTTTCACAATTAGATCTCTTTAACGACGTCGAAGGCATTGCAATTCTCAGATTAATCGAGTATAGTTGCCGCGACTGCGTGTTCTCAGTTTTCCCGATGTTTACATACGAGATTAATGCATAAGATGTCGTTTTCTTAACACTGAAACTACTAACACTAAAATTTCTTTGTCCTCTATCGAGACTTTAATTGACTTATAATTCAATTCGCGCATTGCTGAATCTTTCACAGTTTCTCAGCGGAACATTTGTTGTTTTTCTAATGATTGCAGAAAGAATACATCAGGAATGGGTCATTCTGACCCGTCCGGTAGTTTTAGTGTTAAGTGAAACGTGAACCATAGTCTCGTGTAAATATTTTCTCACGCATGTATTTAATTTCAATGATTTCTACATGCTTCTGTAGTCTTGTCGACGATTCGATAATATCTCATTACGAAATTCCTAACAGGAATGATATAGTAGAGTACTCCTAATAATTTCACTGTGCAGGAAGTCATGTAATAATCAGCTTGATTAATCACACGAGCAGGTATTCGATAGAAATCGGCTACGGTACGAATTTCATTCAAAGAAAACGCAATTTTACGTTCGCTAACTTCGCTACGCCATTTTTCACGGAACAATTGAAGCACGCGAAGGTTGAAGCCAAGGATCAACGAGTAGTTATTAACAATGACGTCTATAACGCGTGTTATTAATGTGAACACGAGTGACCCTCCCGTGTATCATGGATTTACCTATAACTCTGAAAACACGGGACGGGAAATTGAGAATTATGAACGTTGGTTAGACTCATTGTCAACCGATATCTCCTTGTTTTACTATTCAAATGAAGAGCCTTGTCTTTTTCAAGCACTTAACTTGCTCAAACACTAATACGTACATTGTGAAAATTCCTTAGAATTTTCGCCTCTTCGAAATTACAAGCGCTATTGTAACATCAAGTAAAAACATCCAAACAACGCCAGAGTTTAATGAGCATTAATATTATTCTGTTCTTAGAAATTGAACAAAAATATCAGATACTTTCCTTTGTCGAGTAACGTTTTAGACCAAAATAACTCTGGCGAGTCTATTCAGGAAGAAATTTACAAGATAAAGGGTTTAAAACCTGATTCGCACTGCAACCGGATTACAGATTTACATGCGGACAACTAGAACTTCTCTCGGCGATCGAGAAGACCGATCCGCCAAGGACGCCGCGAGCTAGTAAGTTAGAACTGACTTCATCGAGACACAGTGAAAGTCAATTAATTTTGCCATAGGCTGCCGGGTAGAGTCTGCATTGAAGAAACACTTCGTCGGTTGTGCGCTGCGCATTATATACCGATATTCTCGCATTTTTTCTCGTAACTGTTCATTTGTTACGATAACATTCGCGGCGGTTGATATATTTTATACAACGCGAGATATCCTTTCGAAACGCACAGAAACGTAAATAACAAGAACCACCGATTTCTCCAGTATATCACTTTCATTTTAAGTAATCACGAGTATAAAATTAATGCCACTTCGATTTTACGCGAAATGTAAGATTACGTTCGTCTGAGATAGGTGACGTTGGGAGGGGACGCGATAACAAGTGATCGGCAATGAGTGACTTTAACGAAATATACGGAAACAATTAGAATTTAATGGATACTCTTGTAGAAAGGTTGTTCGTTGCTATAGACAGCTGAACAACAATGAAAAGTTAAACAGTGAATTAATTGTATGATTTAGTATTATCAATCTCAGCTACGAATTAAACAAGTTCCACGCGAAACTGACTAAGATTGCATAGTCATTGTAGCTTTCTGTTGACGAAAAGGAACAGACGAAAATTTCAAGTAAAAAGGTGTATTACTGTATGATTCAATAATATTAATACGAATAGGATATCAATAACATTAACAATTTGACGCATATTCAACTTTACAAACACTATTTGATAAATGTATACGTTAACCTTAATTGATGCAATTACATCGATATGTGTCTCAATTATCTGTCTTCAAACATCGAACTTCCAAAATCCGACTGAACGAACATAAATCTTTCTAAAAGCAGTAGAATCAAGCGTACAATAAATATCCGTAAGCCCAGTGATAACACTAAGACTACCGAGCAGTTAAATCGACTTTTTGAAATTCCTCCATAGAAACTGCAAGAATGTATCTATCGAGACTTTCGTTCATTCACAATTCAGTTCGCGCACTGCAAAATCGATTTCTTTAATAATTTCTCAAAGAAACATCTGTCATCTGTTTAATAATTGTAAAAAGAAGACATCAGGAATGAGTGATTTCGACTCGTCTGGTAATTTTAGTGTTAAGTACGAGTAGAGATTCACGCGAACCGTGAAAAATTCGTACGACGGTAGACGTGTTTCGTCAACGAAAGGGAAAAGCAAACATTGTCATTAAGAGGTCGAGAACGATGCGTACACGGGGAAGCGCGGGGATCGAACGGTCCGTAATTAATATCAGTCATTGTGAATCTAGATGGTTGCGCCCAGAGTCATGGGCAATTACCGGCGACAATTCTCCGTAGCAATTTTCATGTCGCACGTGCTCGTCCGCTCACGTTCGAGAGCACTGCTCGCCGTGTCACGTTATTTTCCATATGATCCGGTGGTCTCTTTCAGCAATAAAATAAATGTTAATTTTGGAAATTCAAATATCTGGTCGCTATAAATATTCATCGCCTCGGAATGAAATATCGGTGTCATTTTTTTGCGCGTGACACAAGCAGAGATCGTACGTGAATTACGGGACAGGTGTATTTTATTCGAATGTTTTATGTATTATTACATTACACAGAGTTTAGCGCTGAATATTGAAATTTATAATTTTACTACATTGAACTACAGTCGAATGCTGAGGGTGAGTCACAACGTAAACTCATTGATATTATGATTTCGCATTTTATTACGCAAAAAGCAATACCTGACCTGTCGAGGTAGGACGAAGGTTCATAGTACGCTCTAACTATGCTGTAATTGTTGTTAACACATCGCGAGTGGTTTTGAAAAAGAGAAATAATTTCTTCTACAGTTTAAAGATGGCATTTTTTATTCAATCGAGGACACCGATATGTATATGAACATCGATAATGTTTTCTAGAGTTTAACGATGGCATTTTTTTTTCAATCGAATTTTATGTTAACAAAAAAATAATCTGTTGACCTCTTTAATAGCTTTGTCGATTAGATCTATTTTATCGCGAATTATTCACCAGGGAATTCACGTTTACTCCGAATAAACGTCGACGATAGTGTTTCGAATGAAAAAGAAATCTTCGTGAAACTCAGCTGATAATTGAAATTGACTCACTTTCTCGAATCTTGAACTTGATCTCATTCGTATTAGATACTCGGAGAAAAATATTTATAGGAATTGTTTATCGACGCCACATATTATTTCATGGTTTACGAAACGTTTGTTTTAATCGGGGACACCGTATATTATTAAACTTGGTTCAATGAATCTTCATTTCGACATACGACGAGAACGAACGCTCCCCCTGTCGATAATTAATTACGACAGTGATTGACTTCTCGAACAGGCCGGCCAGAGATACGACTTATCACTATCCTCGGTTCATCCTTCATCTTTTTCTTCTTCTGTTCGGTGTTTTCATTATTTTTCAGGGAACGCAATCGTGCTGCTGTTTTTAGAGAACAACACTGATAAAACCTTGTCATTAAGGAGATTATTTTTGTATTTGTTTTTCGTGTGGCAGCGTTACCGTGATTGTTTGAAAGATTACGCGACAAAGATCAAATAACAAGTGTGTAGAATGGGAATGATAATATCGCGGCTCGAACGTTAGTCCATCAGCGGTTCTCAAGGATCTCGCCGCGCTGACAATGGCGGACGAGCCGAATGCAGAACGGGAAATTGCACGGCTCCGCGCGGAATTCTCAGCTGAAAATTGAAAGTGAATTTCGCGTCTCATTAGAAAGCGAATTGCCAGGCCGATAAGATATTCGTGGTTCGTTCGCAACGCGTTACGCCGGCAGGCCGGGAAAATTGCGGCGTTACGATATATATGTTAATGGTTCTTTTTTCCCCTCTCTCTGTCTTGCTCTCCCCCTTTACTCGTCATCCTTGCTCGGAATTCTAGAAAATTTTACCGACCGAGTGAACATTGAACAAATAGACATACGTTCGAGTAAAGTGTCCAACAACGTAACCTACTTAAACGTCAAGAAAATATTTGTACATGTGAAAGAAATTGTGGCAGGAAGTAATAGTGGTACAGCGTCAATTGTTAGGGAAAATGTTGCAATATCTTCAAAGGATTTTACTTGAAACTAGAATTTCTTGTTTATTTTATTCGGTTTATTACTTGTTCGTTATTAATATTGATAAAATTAAATACAATTACACGGTTGGATATGACACTTCAGTGGTGAAGAACATCGTTGTCCCTTTCTATGGTATTGCTTTTTAAGAACATGCCGGGTCCTCGCTCGACTTTGTGGGCGTCCTCTTTTTACCGTGAGTTGAAAGTGATTCGAAATTCGGAGAAAGCGTACACTAGTTTCTATACCAACTGGAGCCAGCCACGCGAGCAACTAACAAGATTAGCGATTCTATGAATTCGCGGATACGTGATAATATCTGAGATCCCGTTCCCGATTGTGTCGCCATTATCTCCGTTTAAGGAACGATACGACATCGCAATTCGCTCTTGTTCGTTCGCTACGACATTATTTGTTCGACCGTTATCACTGTATTTAATCGTGCGACGAGATAAGGGTTGCACAATTCCACGAATAAATTCAGAAAGTGTTCACGACCTCTCCACCGTGTTTTCAAATATTCTTATCCGAGATACACTGAATTTGTTGAAATTAACTTCTCAAGTAAAAGAAGTATACGGCAAAAATAGAAAGAAGTTTATTAACTACAACTTATAAGTACTAATAATCTAATATCTCGTACTAATGAATACCAGTGTACCAATAATCATTAATTACACTGTCGAGACGATCGAACATCAGAAATTAACACATCGAACGTCGGCTTCACGTGAATCTTTACATTCCATTCGTTGCCCAGCACAGACGCGCGTAATTTCAAGTAACCTCTGCGTTTCACCGGGACCTCCACATTCCGACCTCTACGTTCTCATAATCCCCGTAATGATGTGTCTAGGATAACAGCCAATTAAACGAGAACCGCTCGCTTTCCAGGTGAGCCGAGCCTCAACGCCGAAAAACCGTGCCAACCGGAGGTGTCCACGCTTTCGCCGCGGTTTCCGGTTTCTAGCCTGGCCCGGCCCCGCAGGAACTAGCCCTCAGCGACCGGGAATCTTGGTCGACACCCTGTGGTCTGGTGGTGAGCTATGAAAATATTGTGACCGTTTGACGGGCCTGTGAGTGATCGTCGAAGAGAAACGGGAGGAGGAGGCTGAGCGCGCCGAGGTTCCAGTGGAAGTGACCAATTAGACAAAAAGCTGGATACCATGTCGTTTCTACGTTCCGTGGGGGATGTGATCGGTTTCTTGATCCTCACGGTGTTCTCGATCATCGAGAGCCTCGTGAAGATGCTCATCCCCGCGAAATACAAGATGAAGAGCATCGCCGGCGAGATAGCCCTTGTGACCGGCGGCGGGGGCGGTCTGGGCAGCCTAATCGCCCTCAGGCTCGCTAATCTGGGCGCCATCGTGGTCATCTGGGACGTAAACAAAGCAGGTAAGAACTGTTGTCCTTTCTTGACTGAACCCTTTCGCGGACGAAGATTTTTGAAAGAAATTAAATAACTAAATTATATGTCTAACTCTGAACACTGAAACTACCGAGCAGTTAAATTGGGTTTTTGAAAATCCTCTATAGAATCATCAAGAATGCACTTATTAAAGCTGTAATTGATTTATAATTCAGTTTGCGTATTGCTAAATCAATTTCTTTAATAAATTCTCAGAGAAATATCTGTTATCCTTTTAATAATTGGAAAAAGAAGAAATCAGACATGGGTCATTGTGACCTCTCCGGTGATTTTAGTGTTAAATACTAGACAAACTTGGTCTGTTGTTATTTGAATAATTAAATGACGTTCTTGTAACTTTGCGAGTTGGATATCAAAGTTTGATGTTGCTAATGCGACGACATTCGTCCTCGAGGGGTTAACTGTTTAATAACGCCGAGCCGCGATGGAGGTCTTAATTTGCGCTTAATTCTTTAGCATTGGCGCGGCTGAATGACCCTTAGTTTAGTGAAAACATTACTGTTCAGAGAGAATGTGTCAATGATAATTGGTTGTAAGCTGGGGCAGTTGCGAAATAAGAATGTTTGGGAGCAGCGAATCAGATCCAAAATAAGTTCTTGTTGTAGTTAATCTTTAGACATGATTCGAGATCGGGAAAAAATTCGAGGGAATCTGATTATACGTGAGATACGATGAAATATCGTAAGCACTGCAATTAACACTTTGCGGACGGATGTCGGTAAGATGGAACGTTCGTATTTGGAAGACTAACTCGCGGAAAAATGATATTATTGGTTGAACAGCAAGAGATCAGAACGTACCTTTTTTTCTATTAATTAAGCAGTTGATATGTAACAATTGATATGTTAGCAATTTAGCTTCATGTGTTGAAGGCTGTGTATGTTTCGAAGAATCTTCGTCCGCAAGGGTATACTTAGATACAGAACAAAGAAAGAAATGAGGCAACAGGTTAGCAATGCAAGTTGATAGATTCTTTGTGGCGTATACGATTTCTATGTTAGCGAGATAAGCTCGGCAGCTGATAGTTGGAACTGATTTAATGCGTAGCTGGTCGCGGCGCGTTGGATCATTATTAAACGTGGATAGCAATCTTGTTGAGCTAAGAAACATTGAAGGAACATTAGCGGAACAGAATTTTGCTCGTCGGTTCCGCGATAATTGCGAACCCTCGCTACATTGCCACGTGATGTTTGTCATCGGAACCGCCGTCAGAACCTCGCGTTGGTTGCGTTCCAAGAACGGAACGAGATAATTATAGAATATTCAAACAACCGCGAATCACTCGTCTATAATGCCAGCACGCTACAGCCTAGTTTGGACCGTACTTAAATCCGATTGACGTCCATGGCTGTAGCGCTGGTTGTCTCCTCGTTGGATTATTAATTACGTAATCCGTGGCGAGCACGGTTCAAGCAGGAAACGATTACGCGAATCGATCGGTGTGTTTGCCTCTTTGAAGGGAAATTGTTCAGTGTATCGCGGTCGCTTGACGAACCGGCCTTCTCTCCTTTTCTCCGGAATGCACGGGACAGAAACGAACCGGGTTTCGATTTCCATTTCGATCGAAAGGAAGAGAGCACGACTCCAGAAACTGTAACACTAGATTTACGGACGTTTACTCTACATTTTATTCTATCGCTCCTGTTTGTTCATACAGGTCGCAGGAATTAGAGTTTCGAGAACGGAGAATTATAATGTATATTCGCGTAATTGCACCAATCAAAGTCCTCCTAAATGGAACTAAATTTTTAATGTTTAAGAAATTCAATGTCCGTCAGATTGACGGGTTTCGTAAATCTAGCGTTGAGGATCCTATATTTTTGCTATTGAACATTAGAAGAATTCATTTTCTTAAACTGATAACCGAAAAAGACGAGTTTACTCTCCTCTCATGTTGAATTGTATATTTGAACATTTTCTCGGTATTTATTTGCTTTATATGGTTAAAATTAGAGAATTTATAATTTGTAAGCGGAGGAAACTTAACAATAAACAGACCTTCTGTCGCGAAGAGATTCAAGGATCGATTCGAATGCGCTGGAAGTCGAAACACGTTCTTGACGACCATGAAAATCGGATGATTATCATCGTAGCGTTTCACTTGATGAGTGGACACACGGAATGATTGTCCTTCGTATCAACGACCGCGGATCGATCGGTTTCTTTCGAATTTTCCATGACCAAGAAACTAAGATTTTACTTCGATCGAGTTACCGAAGAACAATTCACGTTTCGCAATAAAAATCCTATTAAATCTTTTTTCTATTGTGTTTGAGCTAATTGTGCATTATGCGCGATGAGAAAAAAAAACGCTTGATTGACTCACAGATTTTCGATTAACTGACTATAACTGATTACACAAGCAAAAACTCGACTAATTGATTCGATCCAAACGGTGAACCAGATCAACACCACCCCGTCTGCGGAAATGGAAAAGATTCAGTCGCGTTGCTGGCTGCTGATCGAATCGGACAGTTTCGCAACCGATTCGACAAAAGTAACGACGACGGGTTGGTCGGTGGCTTCGGGCTGGTTAGTCGAACTTCGCCTTAAACGGATTAGTGTAGTTATCGTGTTAGTGGGTTTTCTGTTTTATGTAACGACCCCGCCGGCGGTTTATTATCATCGACAAATTACCGCCAAGCGTTGCACTCGATCCTCAAAGAAGCTTAATCTTCGTCCAGTCGCGAATTGTGAAGTAATAGTCCGGTACATAACTTCCGTTTTCGTTTGTTTACAAAGTACTCGAGTGATCCCCGACCCCGTATCGCGACGCCGCCATACTGCTTTCGCGGTAGAGTCGCTAAACGTGTTTGTAGAGTACGGACTAATAATTTAAGCACACTCTGTAAGTACACCTTTTTTAACTCCCATCAATCGAGGACGGTGGTATGTAGCGTCTAAAGTGTCTACGTATAAATAGTTCCTCTATTTGATGTAGATTTGCATCGCATACTAATACCTCGAGAGGAGTTGAACGCTCGTGGGCGGCCTCTCGATATGTCCCCTGTCGACCTTTCATCGGAATGGCCATGCTCCTGACCTTGAATATCGAGAAAAAATACTTTTGACGATCGACCTCCAAGCCGAACCGACTTGAACCGTGTTTTTATCAAGGTTTCGAGGCGTTTCCGCGGATATTGCCTTGTGAATCATTTTCTCGGTACTTTGAAATCATGCAAACCGGGAAATTAGATGTTTAACACCTTTTCAAAGCAGAGGAGGGGAAGAGAACTTAAAAGCAAACTTCGAAAATGGAGGAAGACTAAGAACCTAAGTATCAGTAAGAAGAGGTATGTTTACTGTTAATTATTTAAAAATAATCTCCTCGAAGCTCGTTTACTTTTGTCTGCTTGTTTCTTTGAAAACATAACGAGACAATTTGCATTCATAGATATCTTATTCTCATTGAAAACAGACTCTTTTAAACAAAATCAACTCTGGAAGATATAGCGTACAAAACAAGGGAATTTGTCCGTGATTGATATCTTTACAGAAAAATTATACGATCGACGAAAATCGGAGGATATAACTGGGAGGGTATAGGCAACGTTGATTACGCGTCCGCCATGATGGCGGTGTTAGTTTTCCCGCGTATTTTGCGCGGTCAAGGTAAAACATTACGCCGACAAGGTGATGTTGCGTTGAGCAACGAAACGGACGGAATAAAGCCGATAAGGATCATCGGAGATTAATTGCTGTTAGAGGGAAGACGTTTCGGGTTCACGGGCAAAGGAAGCTTAGTCGCGTAATGAATTTTAAGCGCTGGCAATCGCGGGCCTGGACTCATGGGCGGAATAGTGATCGCGCGGCTGCACCGCCGACAATTGGATTAGTATACTTTTATTGTTTGCAAGCGGGACACGTGTCACCGAAAACGAAACGGAATAGTAAGAGTCCCCGGGGGACGATCTTCGTGTTCATCCCGTGACTACCTTGTAACTGGGACTCAAGTCACTTTTAGATTTACCATCGGAACGCGTATCGCAAGAATCGAACGAACCTTAACGTTCCATTTAGATTCTAGTTCATTCTAGTCTATTAGAAATGTATAATTCTTAAACTATAGACCAAAGCAATTGAATGATTTCGAAATGTGACATAGAAATTCGAATACCGTACCTTTCAATCCTCAAGCTGGTGACAATTTAAGACAAGAAATACATTTACAGAAACTGAGTGTTATTATTCACCCTACCCTACGGAATTGAACTATTTTTTAGTATAAATATACTGGATCGTTCAGCTTATTATTCCATTGCTTTTGATCTGATTTTGCTCTATCTCTTTATTACATAGATTCTATTAATATCACGACTAAGAATTTCAAGGAACGCGTTACCAAACAGCACGCGAGTGTAAAAAATATTAGGAACCGGTGTCTTAAGGGACAGGGTAGCCTGAAGATGGGAAAAAACGGACAGAGAATTTCACTTGAAGTTCGCGTTTAGCAACCGCCACGAGGCAAGCCGCGAAGTGGCGTGGACATTCAAGGACACCGCAAGTAGATCTGCTCGATCGACCCGGTAAACTGGTTGGTGGTAGTGAAAAAACGAAATTTCACGCGAGCCGTGCAAGCCATCGCAAGTGATGGTTTCGGTGGTGCGTAACACGCACACACGCTTGCCCCGATGCCTTTCCGTCGGTTAATCCACCTTTCTCTGATAAAACAGAGTTCGGCAGTCCTTCTGCTGCAAGAGTGACACCGATGAAATACTTTAATTGCGTCCAATTTTGTGCAGTCCGTGACACACTTGCGACATTGAATCCTTAATGTAACCGAACCACCGGTTTATTTTATATCTTTTAAAACCTGTCGAAACCCTATATACTTTTCATTAACGCAATCCCGCGGTGCGAGCGTACACCACCATCTCTCGTGGATTACACGGGAGAAGGAAAATGTTAAATTCCTTCTAAATCAACAAACTTCAATCGGCGACATTAACATACGTGATGTTTTCTCATTAACGTACGAGTACGAATACGGAGAATGCGCACGTATTCACGGGAATTATTTTATTATCAAAATCTTCGTAACCTCCGCGAGGACTTCGATGAGTATTGCCTTCGCTCGCAATCAACTCTCACCCATCGTTTCGCCGGTTGACCTACTGTACTCGCGGTGAATGTTAGAAAAGTATTTTCTCGTATCGTTCGTTATTGCTTCACGATATCTATACGCACGAGTGATGCACATTAATATTATTTACGCAGGCGCTGCGCGTTGAAACTAACTCGTCCATTCGAAATATACGCGTTTTTCACGGTAATGGAATTACCTGTATAAAGTAAACAATCGTTCGGCGCGCCATTTATGAGAATAGCGGTAATAATAATGTTCCAACATTTTACGAGCGCTACTCTGACACAAAGAGGCGCCCGTAAAGAGGCAAGGAGCGAGCGAATTCCAGGTCGTTCGTCAGTCCACCTGTTGCCGTCGATTAATATCCTCTTTCTCGTTGCTCGTACCCGGTCTAGAGAGGTCGAGGCAATTTAGCTGGCATTCGTTCGTGACATTTCACCGGACAATTCGATATCTCGGCACCGACGAACGAACAACCGGGCACCGATCATCCGGCAGGCAGCTTTTCGCGGCCGTACACTTTTACGTAGAAAGTCGTTGCCGGGACGAGTGGCGGCTGTCTCGCTCCTTGGCCAAGTGGTACGTGCGCTCATGTAGAATATGAAAGATGTAATTGCGAAAACGCGGAATATATCCTGTTTCCCAGCCCGCCGCGGCGGTCGCGTTCCATCCATTTTCTCGGGGCGGTATTGTGCAAACCAGAATACTTCGTCGCCGTTCCCGGTGAGGTGCGGTAATCCTGTCTTGATTCTACAGTTTTACCACTGGAACCACTGGATGGATCAAAATGACCCATTCCTGATTTCTTCTTTTACAACTGCTGAAAAGGTGCAGTCGCTACTTCGGGAAATGATTCCAGAAACTGATTGATGACTAAACTCAAATGTGATTGAAATCTTAATAAATGCACGCTTAGACGTTTTATAAAGATATCTTAACATGTCAGTTTAAGTGCTCGGCAGTTCTGGTGTTAAACGATGTTTAGATTTCAAAGTGAAATGATAGAATAATACATTTTTATAATATATTTTGTTCACACTTGTATATATAACCCGTTTGAAAAGGAAATTCTGCGACGTATATGGTAATTAGTTTAAGATGACCGGTGCTTGAGTTAACGAAGCTTTCTGTTTCACTTGAAATGTCGCGGCAGAACAACGTTTCCTTTAGTTTCTAATTCTACAGGACGGTTAATTTCGTTTAAAAATTCTATAGATGTTCAGTGTTACTGAGGCTGACGTCGGCACGTTTTAAATGTTGCTAGAGGATCGTATAACAGCTGTGCGTTGCATTATTCAAGAGTAGGAAAAAAAGATGAATGCAATAATGAGCAAGTTATAGTGACAAGTTGACAAATATGTTTGTAAACACATGGATCGTTTATAAGCGTCGATGCGAGTCATACGCGAAAAAGCTAAATGCCACTGTCGTAGTTCAAACATTACTGAACTTCTTTTTAAAGTGTTTATCCGTATTCAGAACATTCTAACATCAATTTAGAAATATTTTTATGATATTTTAACTAGAACGGAAGTAGATAGGTGCCTATATATCGCAAGTCATAACGTTAAACGTCATACTCTGTTCAATATAATTACACAGCACAACGGTCCAGTTCCCAGTCAGCGGAAGAAATAGATTTTCACTGGTTGCTACACTTGCTCATTCATTTTCGAACTCTTCGAGCCGTCGCTACGCTGCGACTTTCATTAATTTCGTAAATCCGTGAAATATAGAGTCTATTCTGGTCACTTGATTTGCATATTACGCTGGAATACGAAACGAGTTCTAAAAGCAGCGATGGCTGGACATCGAAGAGAATCGGCGGTGAATGAAAATTGTATTATCTGCTCGAATACCTGAACCGGCGAAGCATGACAGGGAAAATGAAATGTGCGTCTAATCCTGTGTTCGATCGTTCCGATGCAACGAGAGATCGGATCTCGCGCGAGGATAACACGGGCGCAGTTTAGTCCGTCGACCTTCTCGCGTTTTAGATTAAAAGACTCGCGGGTGTCTTGGTGACCGAACTGCCTTGAAAGTTCATCGATCTGTATTTCACTGATCCTCATCGAGCTGCTTTCTTTTTCAGGCATGGAAGAGACTGTTAAACTGGTGCAAGCCGCAGGTGGAACCTGTTACGGCTACGTCTGCGATCTATGCGATCGTGAGGATGTTTACAAGAAGGCCGCGGTGGTCAAAGCGGAAGTGGGAAAGGTGAGAATTATATAATTCCCGACATGCCTGAGCATGCGCTAAATATGCGGGTTAACGTGAAATTACAATGATTTTAGAAGGCTATCAGTGTGATCTCAGAATCATAACGTCCGAGTAGCATTTTTCTGTTGTTAACTGTATTTAACTATGCGTTATGTTGGCATCACTGATAGTGAGATGGGATTAGAAGATTATGTAAATTAAAATGAATTGGTTAGAAGATTACGTGAATTAAAACGGCAAGCGTGTGTCAAATGTTTGTATTCGAAACTAGTCCGTGTAGAATCGTTTATAGGGAATGTCTAATTAATTGTATAAAAGAGTATCAATTCTAATTGTAGCGATTGACGCGCTTCGTTAACATCGCGTTCGCATAGACTCTCTAGATTTTTAAGGCACCGCACCAAAAACGCCGAAAACCATCGAGCACGCAGCACGCTAACATTCGTGACGCGGTTCAAAATGTCTGATTTCTCTCTGAGTGTATTTGCTACGCTTTAATTGCATTACTGTATACGTGATAACGATCGCTTGCGTAAATCGCAATTTTTTACCGGAGGGGATGGTTAATGTTCAGGTATTCGACGGGTTTCAGCGTGGGACATACCTATTTACCTTGCGCCGAGCTGCCCGCACAGCTCGTATAGACAAAATTATGAAATCGTGCGTTACGTCACAAAGTTACACATGTAGCCGATAAATACACAACTACCGAAAAGTTTGCAATCAGGTGTTCGATCAGAAGAAAACTTGAATTTTCCAATGAAAAAGATTTGCGCGTGGGTTCTCGTTGGTACGAATCTTAGCCACCTTGTATCTTATCTTTCGTTCGAAAGAGCAGGCAGCGAAAGTATTCGCGTTGCTACCAGGAATAGTTAATGATATCTGGCTTATCGATCTTTCTAGGTGACAATATTGATAAACAACGCCGGCGTGGTCAGCGGGATGAAATTTATGGACACGCCTGACAAGCTCATTATCCGCACGATGGATGTCAACGTGATGAGCCACTTCTGGGTATGTTCGCGACTTCTCTCTACATTCGTTTCGCGCCGGGAGCGTCGCACATTTGCACAATTTCTGCTTGAATCGTGAATTGAACTTCGTTTAAGCTTTTAACGTGGGTTGCCGATCATTTGAAATTCAAAAGGGGTAGTGACGGAAGCTTATCGATTTCTCCCAGAACATTAGTGTCGACGTTTCAATCGAAAAATTTGATAATATAACGTTAACAATCGAATTATAATGTCAAGAAACGATGAGAAATAGAGGAACGCAAATTTCCGACAAAAGGCCCACTCGCGTGGAGGAACGTAATCGCGGTGATTTCAATGCGCGGTGAGAATACTACGGCTGCGACGCACGCGTGAAAGCCTTTCCAATCAACGGTTTTCCTTGTTTTCCACTGCTCCGAGACAGAAAAATCTGTATTCCAGTTTCCTGCATACTCAGGACGGTTCGTTTTGCTTGTTTATGATCTATAATACAGCTGAACCATGGTTATTCATCAGTATTAATCGAGACTACAGGAATGTGGACCTTGAGTAAACTTGAACTGAGTTGTGACATATTGAAATCGTGTACGATCCGTCCACGATTCGCGTGAACGCCGGATAAAATTACTGAGACTTGATTTTCGCATAGGTATGCATTAGAACTGGCGTAGAATAGCTTTTTTGTTCCTGTAATTACAATTAAGTTTGCTATGTCAACTTGTCAATGAATTTTTTTGTTTCCTTTGTTTCACGCGATGAATCGTTGAAGTTTTTATTCGATCATTCGCTGAATATTCTATTTAAACATCTTAAGAATGACATTTTAATAACAATATTTGGAATGTTATTAGTATTAAGAATGAATATTTAGATTATCTGGAATTGAGCGAAGCTAATATTTAGAATTGAGGCCAGAACCGCGATTATGGGAAACCGTGAGTCTACACGCAGTGTTTGGTATTTGAATTTGAAAGACGAGGAGTGAGAGGCATTCCAGTACTCGCGTACCCTCTGTTTAGGACTGTTGCTGTGGGTCAGGTAGGAAAACCGGTCGGATAGATACAGCCAGTGGGCCGTGCAGTTGCAGTACACTCGTGTCTCGTGATTGCGACACCCACGAGAGGCCACACGCTTGCCAAACGTAGTTCCTCGATACGAAATGCCCACTTCAACTTGGCTCGTGCTTTCGCGCAATAATAGAACGCGACGGAAAGCCGGCTGAAAGTTTCTTAACCCTTCACCTATTTTCTGTAATCTCTTCGTCGACAATCGCTGAGAAGATGCGCGTCAACGGATCGTTGACGCTTCCATTCCAGTGAAATTAATTTCATTCGATACTTAACCCTTTGCAGTCGAAAGTTATTCACTGGAAATCTCCAAAATTCTCCGATCAGACGCGGAGACATTTTCGAAAACTAATTTATCAAGAAGTCACGCATAGATTGAGGAACAAAGCTATTTTACTTGAATATTCCGTCTTAATATTAAATATCGAACTTTATGATTTCGCCGAGAGTCGTTTCTTCAGTGAAGTGCCAACCTTCTGGTGATGAACAGGCATTCGAAACGTTAGAGAGAGAACGCCCGCTGCAGACCATAAAAACGAAGTATTTACATTGATCAGGAGAATCAAAATTTACAGTTAATTCGAACAATTATCCAGGTCAGCTTTTTTCCCTTAATACCTATAAACTGTTCGTCTTGCGTAGAGAAAGGTAGAGAGAACGATGGTTAAAATGAAAGTTGATGGGAAAGGAATCCCGTACAGTGCATCGTGGAAAATGGCGTCTCTGAAAGGGGCCAAGACCTGGTATTTTCATGGTTTTCGAGTTACTCGGGGGAACAGCCTCCGGTTCCCCGGATAATACCGCGGAAAATCGTGGCACGCGAACGGATTCTAACGGGATGCAGAGTGAAAGTTCGCGCGCACGATGCTGAGGAGCATCATCGATAGCAATAGCAATGCCCGAGCTAGCGACGCGACGCGACGCGACGCGATGCCGCGGATTCAGAGCACGAAGAAAGAAAATTATACCGCGCGGCTCGGCCGGGAATACCGATTTATCGTGCCGCGTTACATCACGTCGCGGCATCGGTTTAATGATAATTGAGATATCCGACTTAATGCCAATAACGAACGCAAAAAGAAAATCAGAAGGAAAGAACCCGTTAAGAGGGACAAGGTCTGCCGGTTGCCGCCCGTTCGAAAACCGGCGATCACTCGAGACCTTTGCGAACCCTGTAATTACACCTTCAGCGGTTCCGATCGTTCTCGCGTCAACAGTTCGTTCATTCGATCGATCTATCACGTAACTAATTGTCTTCGAGATGACCGTCGCGATTTTACTTGAACAACTCGGTGCCAGTTTTCATGTCCGACGCGTTTTCTCCGGCGATGAAGTGACATTCACGCGAACGGTTAAGAAACGGTTAATCCCCTTGGCAGTATCTTGAGCAAACAACGAGAAGCGATCCCGACAGGCGCGAACTCAGTGTTGTCGCTGTCGGTTAAACTTTGCCCGAGCGGCTGTCGCGTGCGGACCACGGTTTTACTTTCAAAAGTGAGAACTAGAAGAAGCTAGTTGAGAAGTGGGTTAATTGGTGCGTTAAGGGGATCGTCAACCGTGTGGACCTCTCGCTGCATCCGATGTCAGGGTCACTTCGGTAAGATCTTGCCAACCGCTTTCCAAAGTCCATACCGAGCCACGAAATGGCGAGTTTTATGATCTCGGAGATCCCGGGGTTCGTCGTGTTTATGCTTGTTACACGCCCTCCGTCTCCCTCCCTCTCGCCGAACCTTTAGCGCAATTACCTTTTACTTGCACAGGAATGTCTGACCGGTAAAAGTCACTGTTCATTCTTACGGGCCAGCAAAATGTTTAAAGTGATCTCTCTTCCATTACCCTCGGTGAATAGAGTCTATTAAACCGAATTGATGAGGCTGCTGCAAAATTGAATCACCCTTCGTTAATACTTATTAAGCGGATGTTAATATGATCAAGGAACAGCGGGGAATAAAATAGAAACTCGAATCGAGACTGACAAATCTCCGACGAGGTGTTCTTTACTTTATACGATTAATTTAAACGTACCGTTCGTTCGGGGTTTTGTATTTCGATTCTTTTCACTTTTCAGACAACGAAGGCGTTCCTACCCTCTATGATGGAGGAAAACAAGGGCCACATCGTGAGCATAGCCAGCTTGGCCGGTCACGTGGGAGTGCCGACATTGGTGGACTACTGCACCTCGAAATTCGCGGCAGTCGGTTTCGAGGAGGCTCTCCACATGGAACTCGCGGTACCTATAAATTCTCTGACATTTTACACCAATTTAATCAAATACTGCAATTTTCTGTCTAACATTTTCTATTTAACTATTTCATTAAATTGCTTCGTATGCATTCTAGGCTGACGGATATAAAATCAACACCACCGTCATATGTCCGTTCTTCATTCGCAGTACCGGCATGTTCGAGGATATTTCGCCTAGGTATGAATACGTTCATTTTACTATGAATCGAATATATAACGCAAGCTCGTGTTTATTAACGTTCACGGTTATTCATGTTTCGGTTCCCTTCTCAGGTTTGTACCAAGACTTAGTCCCAATGAAGTGGCTGACCGTGTCGTGTCCGCCATGAGGTGCAACGAGAAGATCGCCGTTGTACCTGGTTACCTTTACTTCATGCTCGTCTGTAAATGGTAACATTTATTACCTTACTTTTAAAAGGTTCATCATTTTATTGTTTGGGGTAATTTCGGGTGGCCAGTTCAATTATCTCGCATAAAGAATTGCTGCAACCTTTTCATTTGCAATTACAAATCTTGTTGATTATTTCGTAAGAAAGTAATTCATGTTTATTTGGGAGTCAAATCTGGTGTTCCATTTCTTTCAGTTTCCATTTAAATGCGTTTCAATGCAAAGATGGCCATCTATTCCAAAATAACCCTATAAATTTATCATTATTCCTCTTATTCGAATAATATCTCCCGATTCTACCGATGAAGACAATCGAGCACTGATCCTCGAATGTTCGTATATTGCAGGGCCTTCCCATGGGCCTGCGCGGGAATGTTCATCCGAGGGGTAGTCACCAGCACGCTGAGCGTCTACAACACGCCGAAGAAGGCCGCGCCCAAGCCGAAGGAGGAGATCGTCGCCGACGTGATAACGAAACACCAGAACGGCGCGAACATGGAGCAGCTAACGAGACGCGTCTCCAGCACGGAGAGGAAGCCGTAGTTCGTTATTTTCCGTTGACTAATCCGTGTCCAAGAACGTTTCGAAATCGGATCCATTAGTTCAGCACCTCTATTGGACAATGAAACAACGAGAACGGGTACAACACCGTCGAATCACGATACCGTTGATAACGCTCATGTAATTCCGTAGCACATTGCAAAACTCGTCACGCACGTACACGTTAGGGTTTTATCGAGCTCGTTCCGTGCGAGCCGATTGTTACGCAAAAAAAGAAATTGTCGGGCGACAAGCTGCCTCCGTTCCGGCGTGAAACGTAGACCCGATTATTCTTTCGCAACGTTCGCGACGCGGCCGATCGGCGATGATCCGGCGGAGTATCTTGCGAAGGAGAGGATCGAAACCTTTAAGAACGATTTCTTTGCTTTCAAGCCGCGCCGGAGAAAAAAAGACGTCGACGGGGACGTTCTAGGAGAGTGAAAGTTTCGGACGCGTCCGTTCGAACACGTGTTTTGTTCGACGTTGAACAGAATTCGCTCGTATTGACGTTATTTAATTTTGTAAGAGGAGGAGAGAGCGAGAGTGACGGAGAGAGCCACCCGCGGCACAGACTCGCGGAACGTTTGTCCGAACGGCACGGGTATCTACCACTTCTTTTTACCAATAATCGGCGCCAATGTGTGATACATTAAACGTTCGTTGTTCTAGATTGTAAGGATAGGCTTAAGGACTTTCCTATTTGTAATTTCTAACCGGCAGCTCGCGGATGGGACACGTGCGATCAGTCACGCGGATTCGAGTCCGCCGAATGTAGTCGCCAGGCGACCAATTTGTCAAAACGAGAAATAAATTTCCTAGAATATTTACCCGGCGTTTCTGTTTAACCACCGGGATTTCTCTCTTAGAGGCGAGACGCGGCGATTTCGGGGGCTAACGTATTTCGCGAAACGCGGATGACTCGGATATTTTTAGAAAGTTGTTAATGGGAAGGTTAATAATAAACGGAACAGAATGCGTACGCGCGATCAGAAAAGGCTAGTTTCGCGATTATGTCATCGGAACGGTCGTTCTACTCTCCGGAGAATGTACACGGCTGCGAGACTCTTTTTTATCCCGTTTGGTTACTGTGTCAACGAAATGCGGCGATAATGGAGCCACACACGGATCACGATGTTGCACAAGCGACGTCATTCATGGATGGAAGGCAATCATCATTCTGATCGTATTAAAAATACATTTACGTATACCTTTCCGTTGAACCGGTTGATCCCTGGTTTACATTAAATTCGATAAAAGGAGAAAACGGAATTTGAGTGTTATCTGAACGAAGAAACGGTTAATTCGAGAGGGGGAGGGGCTCTAACTGTATCAAGATAATGACTACACCTTTGTGTTATCTCCTATAAAAAGAATTGTGCTCCAGTTGAAACTCTTTTCAACCTTTTCTATAGGGATAATGATATGCGAGTGGTACACGCGCTCGTCGTGCTGTGATCGAGATTACACATAAGTGGACGAACACGTTTTTCTACTGTAACTGTTACATGTGCATAGGGAACGATGTATTTTACACAGATACGAACGATGTAGTTTTTCAAGCCATAGGTGTTTCGAGATTAAGCGAACGCTCCAGATACATTTATTTTATTAGCTCTACTACACACTGAACTCTTTTGTATTTACATTTCCACGTAAATGTCGTATCTATTGTTATATTTATTCAACATATAGTCATGGGTTTGCCAGCTGCTCTATAACGTGATGTTTGCGACAGAATTCAACGCGTTTTACGGTGACTAGTTAGTTCGCTTTCATTATTTTTTTGTGTCCTCCGAGTCTTCGAGGCCACCCGGTATGTACAGACACCGACATTGTCTATCTGGGTTACATTGGAATCACCGGCAGAAGTTTCACCGACACTATTTTGATCCTAGCTCACCGACAACGGCATCAGCCAACAACAACGTCGATAAATAGCAACTTTTACAGTCGCAACAGCAGTCTGTGCGTCCCTTTGTCCTGAATTACTTGTGCCTCGATGATATTTGATCCTGTGATAATTAAACTTAGAATGCAAAAAGAATCTTTCTCCACGCTTGAAAAACAGTTATCCCACTATCGCGGAAGTTATGTCGTCAAATCGAAACGAATCGAACACTTCGGTTAACGGTTGCGCTCACAGAAAGTGTAGAAGCTTAAAAAAATGCACGCATTTTTATGTACACCTTCGTCACAGACAGATTTCAATCTAAACATTCACGCAATTCGAGGAGAAGGCGCATACGATTCGCAGAATGTCGGTCAATGCTGCTGCCGGATAATGCTGTTGTCAGTCAAGGCTGGTAATAGCAAATTCTCGTCGTTGATTTTGATGTAATTTGTTTATCTGTTGCGCGTAGAGCACACAGTAAACATTATCAGCGAGCCAACGTCATCCCGCGGATTGGCAATGAAACAACAATACAGCGTCCAGTATCGTTGCATCGATGAAACGCGGATCGATGAAAATCCAAAACGGCGTTGCATTCGGTCGCGGTATCGCTCGATCAACCAGTTGCCGGTAGAAATTCGCATGGGAGATAAAATCGGGCGGCGTAGAGTAAATACCGCGGCACGATACCGGATCTGCGCTATCTATTTCTGTTTTCCGTGTATCGTTATCAATACCGCAGATAGTGGACACATTAGCCGCGCTATTCGTGCCAATTGCGACAGTTACGTTTCAGATTCCTTTCCGGTAGAGGCGGGAATTGGGAGGAATCCGCGGTTACATTTAGCCGAAAGTAAGACGAATTAAAAGTAAAAGTTCCATCGAAAATGGGCGACGAAGGGAGCCGCAAGTGCTGATAGTTTGTTCGGATGATTTCTATTCGCGTCTTACACGATTAACCGTAAAAATGAGGATTACTCGAGCATTGCTGCTCCTGGCTACCCTGTTCAGCGAATGGGATCGTTTCGAAGCGGTGGACACGGAGCTAATGAGGCTCTGCGTCTCTCAGAACACGTGCGAAAATTGCTTGGAGGCGAGCTTGGCTTGTGCATGGTGCAGTGATTGGGTAAACCATTCAAAGTTTCGTTTCCTTTCTGTGCCATTGAGTTATAAAAACTCGCGGATAGTTGGATAGGTCGTTGATAAGCTATCTTCGCTAGATCCACGTCATTCGATCATTTCCTATACGCCCGAAACCATTCGCAGATGTGCCTTAAAGTAACCGAACGATTCCTTTTCAACTGTGTCCTTAGTCCTTCTCGAATTCGACGTTAGGTCGACCGAGATGCAACCTAGAAGACAATCTATGGGCGTTCGGTTGTCCGTCAGAAGAAATCCGTACTGCTCCTTCAGGATCAGTGGAGCTCGTGGAAGATTTCGACTTCCAGGACGTGCAAGAGGCCGGCCAGACACCCTTACAGTTGAAACCGCAGAAAGTGAAAATGAGGATCAGGCCGAAGGAAAGCAGAACGGTTAACCTCTATTATAGGCCAGCCAAGTGCGTTTCCTTGTTCAGTACTAGATATTTGTATCTGTGAATATTTAACCCTGGAGGAACTAATGCTCGAAAGCTGAGCAAGTTCGTAGTATTAAGTTTCGATCGATTAGTGAACGGGTTCCGTGAATTCTCATGATTCTTTTAGGAACTATCCGCTAGACTTATACTATTTGATGGACTTGACATGGTCGATGAAGGACGACAAAGACACTATGGTCGCTCTAGGGCTAAACATGACGGACACCATCGGAAAGTTCACCAATAATTTCCGTTTCGGTTTCGGTAGCTACGCCGACAAACCCCTGATGCCTTTCGTTTTCCCCGGACACGAGGACAATCCTTGTAAAAGCGAGCATAGCGTCTGCTCGCCGCTGTACGCCTTTCAGCACCGAATGAGTCTCAGCGAGAACATTCACCGGTTTATCAAAGAGGTAACTATTCAGCTGATCAGACGGAACAGCTCGGAAACATTAGGGAGAAGCGCTGAGGCTGGACTAATTGACTTCAGATGAACGAGAGCTCCGTCACGGGAAACGTGGACAACTTAGAAGCGGGGATGGACGGTGTGGTGCAGAGTATCGTCTGCGCGAAAGAAGTGGGCTGGGCGCATCAGGCGCGGAAAATCATATTGATGGCCACGGATGGGTTTCTGCATTTCGCCGGAGACGGAAAGGTACCGCGAAAATAACAACGGACGAATAACACGGTCGCGCGGAACGGGGAGAAACGAAATTCACCTGAAAATATTGAAATGCCCATTAGCTGATCGGTACCGTAGCTCGTTCAGACTTCAAGTGCCATTTGGACGGGGACGGGAAGTACGCTATGTCCACGAAGTTCGATTATCCGTCTCTGGAGGAGGTGTCGAGGCTCCTGAAGGAAAACAAAGTTAACCTGATATTCGCCGTGACGGAGGATCGACGGGCGGAGTACGAATCGATCGCAAATCTGTTGAAACAGAAGGCGCGGGTCGCCACGTTGACCAGTGACAGTTCGAACATCTTGGAGATCATCGAGAGCTCTTATCACGAGTTGATCTCGAAGGTTGTGTTGCAGGACAATTCGACGGATCCGCTTCGATTGCAATACCTTTCGAATTGTGGGAAAAAGGACGGTGAATATTTATACACGTCGGAATGCGATGGGATACAGGAAGGCGAGGTTTACAAGTTCACGGCGATGCTCTCATTCGACAAGTGTCCGCGAAACGAGAGTTTATGGGTAAATAGAATTTCAATTTAACATCGGAACTAACAGATCGCTGAAAATCTGAATAGATGCATTTATAGAGAGGCATATTTTATTATGATGGTGACCGTGCCTCCAATCGCCCCTTGTTGACGGTGATCGTGTACGCACTGCCCTCTGCTGATGGTGACCGTGTGCACAATCGCCCCTGAAAATAGCAACCGTTTTAATGGAGTTTGTTCCGCAGATGTTAGGCTCTACATTTGACCCCAATGCAACAGTTGATTTACTCTTTCCGTGTCTATTATAGCCGCGTCGTGAATTCATCGTCAAAATCTCTAACCCCAATGACCCTTGCAACCTTTTCAGAAACAAACTATTATAATCGAAGACGCTCTAGCCTCCAAAGCCTCCGAAATTGTAATCGAAGTAGAACTCCTGTGCGGTTGCAACTGCAAAGACTCCCATAACTCCCATTGCCTGCATGGCAGTGACGAGTGCGGTCTCTGCAAATGCGATTCCGGCTGGTCAGGTATGAATCATATTAATAGATAGATGTTCTTTATCAGCCTAATTACGATGAATTAATGCGACACTGATGGAAGTCAATATTTCAGGAGAGCACTGCGACTGTAATATAAGTTCGTCAACGGAGAACAGACTAAAATGCATCGGGCCTGATTCTAGCAAAATCTGTTCCGACAAAGGGGAATGCATCTGCGGAAGTTGCGTTTGCGACGAGGGATACAAAGGGCAGTACTGTGAATGCTCTGCCTGTGACAAGGTGAACAGAAATTCTCTTTCTTCTCTGCGCCATGTGGCATGTTGAATTTTCTATTTCCAGAAGGAAATGAAATAAAGAAATTTCAATGTTCTGTTCTCAGTACGATGGATTAGAATGCTCGGGTAGAGGAACCTGCACGTGTGGCGTTTGCCAGTGTTTAAAAGGCTGGAAGGGGAATGGATGTCAGTGTCCACTGACGGAGGTACTGTGCATGGCACCAGGAAGCACGGATGTATGCGCTGGTCGCGGATATTGCGATTGCGGGGAATGTCGGTTCGTATTTGTAGTTCGCACGTGAGTTCCGAGTACCTATTACGATACTTATACTATATATTTACAGATGTAACGTTACCGCAGAAGACGGTACTTATTATCGAGGGAAGTATTGCGAATTATCGGTCGGCTCTGGCGGAGGGAGCCTTTGCGCCCTTTACAACGCTTGCGTGAACGCCACTATCGAGAATCCGCAGGGAATCGATGAATTTTGTCGAACGAACGTGACTGATTACACCACCAAGAAAGTGGACTCCGTCGATAAAGGTAACAAACGAAATGAATAATTAAATGGTGTCTGTTTGAATCGTACCTTTCTTGAAATTCGAATAGGAAATGAACACTACTGCATCGTTAGCACTGTTGGCGAGACGCAGACGTGCTTCATACAGTACACGTACGAGTTCCAGAGGAACCATGATGTTCTGTTGAAGATAGGAGAGAAGGTAGGCCATAAAAATATTCATAGATTTAAAATTTATTACGATACGATTTAATCGGAGTAGTCGAACACTCCGAATAACGAGCATTTTCACTTTCAGATATGCAATGCTCCTATAAATGTAGCATCCGTGTCCCTTCAAATCATTGCGGTAACATTTTTCTTCGCAACAATATGTTTATTAATTTGGAAGTGAGTATTCGCTAAACTTAAGTATTCAGTAATTAAATTACAAGTTTTTGATGCATGCGTTCTCCGTAATGTGCATATATAGATTCTGGACCACATACAAGGACAAACAAGAGTACCAGAAGTTTGAAATAGATAGACAGAAAACTACTTTCAGTTTGAACCAAAATCCTTTGTTTAGACCTGCTACAACAGAATTCCGGGTTCCATCGGTGATTAACGAGGACTGAGGATGGTATATAAAAACAATTTCGCGAATACGTGGAATCGAGATCTAGGTGAACTTTATATGCTCCCAGTAGATTCGTTGTGAGTAGAATGAGCGGTGTCCTGGATGAATACCATATCATCCCAAAAATGATTTCCAGGTGAAAACGAGATCATCTGTAATTAGGATAAAGGTATTCATTGTTTTGCTATAGAGAGAATTAATTTAAGTATTTCTTAAAAATTGTATTACATTCTCTGATAAGGATTCAAGTACCCATTTGAACCCAAGAGACTCTCTATAAATAATATTTGTAAATGGTTTATTATTTAGCCAGTTTGCTTCTAAAGAAGATCCATCGGGGAACATGTAAATTCCTGGGCCATTCATTGTTCCCTTCGAATCAATATTACCCCGAAACTCAGCGTTGTTATTGTAACTAGAATCATTAAAATTGAATTAATTTATTCACGTATATCCACAAGCTAAAATTAAGTCATATTTACCGAATATGTATTTTATCTTCAGCATACGCATCGTCATCCCATTTACCATTGTATTCATCAAGATCATCTGTGGTGTATACTCCGTTACCTGTACAGCGTATACATATAAATAACAATATCCATTGAAAATATTTTTTAAAATAGCAACCTTGTTTTACTATCATAAATTGTCCATATTGAACTTTGTATTCTCCCTCGTACGTGTCATTATTCTGAAATGTAAATTTCCCTTTATCGAATATTATTTTATCCCTTTCACCTGTGTCTCCTGTTTTCAACAATTTTTTAGCGTGTTTTTTCACCATTTTAAAAATCCTCGATTTTCTATGCTCTCATTCGATTATGGTCGACCATATTTCTTTTAAAAATCGATTCTAAAGGCTTTCGAATTTTTTTAAGCCTAAATCACATGAAAGATTAATATTGTAAAATTATTATTTCAAAAGAGGGAGTGTCGGTAACAGTTCCAAGTTGCTCCGATTATCGCTGTACCGTTAACGCTAGATCGCGCGTGGATCTAGCCACTTTTCCGTCAGCAAATTGCAGTGTCCGTTCTATTTTATCAATGACACTGTCGGTTATAAAACAGTCTAACCCCAACAGATATTTTCGGCTGAATTTTTGTTGTAATAGAAAAACATTTATATAGACTATTGATCGTCGATGTTTTACATGTACAATTTAATCCCCGCCAAAGATGAATCCCCCTCTTTTGAAAAATCACCTTTAAACCCGAAGCCACGTGACCTTGCAGACGACCTCTAATTCGGTGTTCGTATCGTCCGTTCCTAGTCGTGTTTCGTGATAACCCTTAATATATCTTTGACACACTCGTACGTCGTCGCACGAGTTGTTAAACTAAATCATCTTTATTCTCTCGTCGAATTTCCGTCGACTTGCTACTAAAAGTAGTCAAGACTCTTCAAAGTATCCGAGATTATGATACGAACCACAAGCGGTCTACGTAATGAATTGGCACGCGCTATACTTCGAAGTACCATACGAACGAACATCGTAAGATCTGTGGTCATACGATGTCTTCACAGAAAACATCTACAAAGGTATTTGTTCTAGAGTCACAGGCATATTTAATCATTTCTGTAAACATTTTACCCCACTTCAAGTCAAACTTTAATCACTGTTTGTTTTTAAGGTTATCTTTTCCATTACACCTGTTCTCCATCAATTTGTTCCACTTAGGAGTCAGCGAATCATCTTCTGAATACTGTTTCCCGCTTTCTACTCGATAACTGACAGTGATTTGACACTCCCTGTATTAAAACTATTTCTTTTCATTAGAAGTATATGTTACTTGTGGTTACTCAAGGCCACCTTTTTGCATATATGCAAGCAATGTTCTCTTAGTTTGATCCATGTGTTAGTAGCTCAAATGCATTGAAAATTCTTCAATCAGTTTGTTTTAATATCTCTTCTAGTGTTTAATATACAATACTTTTTCTCATAGACTTCTAATATTTGATTATTTCATGTTTCGTAAGTCATTTTATATGAACCTCTATTCCGCCAAGACTTCCATATTACTGTTCTTCTTATTACATTAAATATAATTTCAGAAAGTTATCAATAATGTTTTTTTAGTTGTTAATAATATTTATAGTAACATAATTTCTTGCTTGATATTTAGGATTCAGGTTCACAATACTTTGCGCCTTACGGTGGCACCATGGAAGCAACAATATAGGTTTTACGCAGATTACCCTGATCATGTCAAAGTACAATTGCCTGCACTGTCTCCTACTATGGAAACAGGCACTATTGTTAGTTGGCAAAAAAAGGAAGGTGAGAGAAATAATCAATTTAGTTATTAATTATATGTAATTGATAATAGATCACATTTTTTGTATTTATTGTCTGTAGGTGATAAGTTAAATGAAGGTGACTTATTAGCAGAAATTGAAACTGATAAAGCAACAATGGGTTTTGAGACTCCTGAAGAGGGGTACCTGGCAAAAATTCTTGTACCAGCAGGATCAAAAAATGTACCAATTGGCAAACTTGTTTGTATAATTGTTTCGGATGAAGGTAGTGTAGCTGCCTTCAAAGATTTCAAAGATGACTCTGCAGCTGCTCCACCTCCACCTGCTGCTGCACCAGCAGCACCGACTCCTGCACCATCCACTCCTCCTCCAAGTCCTGTAACACCACCAACACCAGCAGCTGCCAAATTACCTACATCTTCTGGTGATAGAATATATGCTAGTCCTTTAGCCAAACGTCTTGCTCTTGAAAAAGGCCTTAGTTTGCAAGTGAGTTTTAAATTTCTTGATGATCTTTTTAAAAATTTATATAATTTAATTATGCCATGAGTAGAAAATAATAATTGATTAATAATATTATACTAAGGTATTAAAAATAGGTAATTTTAATTCCATTTCTTTTTTTACAGGGTCTAAAGGGTTCTGGATTATATGGTTCCATAACATCTAAGGACTTAGGAGCTGCTGCCCCAGCTGCTGCTGTCCAGCCTGGAGTGGCAATGGGTGTTCCCGGAGGATTCGATGTTCCTGTATCCAATATACGAGCAGTAATTGCCAAACGTCTCCTGGAAAGTAAACAGACTATCCCACATTATTATTTATCAATAGATATAAAAATGGATGCAGCTCTAGAAATGCGAAACCAATTTAACAAAATGTTAGAAAAGGACAAGGTAAAGATCAGTGTAAATGATATCATTATCAAAGGCATGGCAATGGCTTGCAAAAAAGTACCTGAAGGCAACAGTGCTTGGATGGGTGATGTTATTAGGCAGTAAGTACTTTGGTATTATTAATGATACATATATTGTTTTTACATTGTTATAATACTTCTTTTAGGTACAATAATGTTGATGTAAGCGTAGCAGTTAGTACTGAGAATGGTCTCATTACACCAATAGTCTTCACTGCTGATGCAAAGGGTATAGTTCAGATTAGTAAAGATGTAAAAGCATTAGCTACAAAGGCAAGGGAAGGAAAATTACAGCCACAGGAATTCCAAGGTGGAACTATAACTGTATCTAATCTGGGAATGTTTGGTATTAAAAACTTCTCTGCCATTATAAATCCTCCCCAATCTATCATCCTTGCTGTTGGTACTACTGAAGCTAGACTAATACCTGCCAAGAACGAGAACGGGTAAGAATAATTATACCTATGTAATAAATTTGATCATTACCCATTGTGCATAATCACCTTATTGATTTTTAATGGAAGATACAGTTCACAACTTTTTTTCATTATTTTTTGCTGTAGATTTACAACTGCCCAATATATGTCCGTCACTGCCAGTTGCGACCACCGTACCGTGGATGGTGCGGTAGGTGCTCAGTGGTTAGCTGCATTCAAGAGTTTCATGGAGAATCCTACAAACATGCTATTGTAGTAAGTTCCACCATAATGTGTTCAATGGTGTAGTTTGAGTAAGCACAAATTACACGAAAGAAAAAACGAAAATGTTCTTCTGTTCAGGTACGAAAGGTGACGATGAATGTCCTGTATATTTGTGTATAGTACGATTCTGAATCATGTTACTTTACGCATTTGCAAATTATCGACTTTTAATAGGACCTGAGCTTTGTACGGTACATTTTTTTTCCTTTCCGGTCGACGTACTGACACGAATTCAGGACTAACGTGTCACGAACGTCACTACGAATTCAGATTATTCATGATGTAGAAATTTTTATTTGTGGTTTTTCAGTAAGTAAAAAACTGACAAGCGAAGTCAGTATAGATGAAGAAAATGTTTATCATTTTGAAAGATTTTATTTTAAATTAATTTGAAAAACCACAGAACTCTCCTTCCCCTGCGATATTAGTGGCCACCTGTAAATATGTGTATTTATGAAATATAATTATGGCCCTCCTATGTTAACGCAGAATTTATTTGTTAATTAGGGATAAATAAAAACAAATCTAATGAACTGTGTCAAACTGTTTATAGTAAATAATATACATACATACATGGATGTGTATATCATATTTAATAAATTGTAACTTAAAAATTCAGTGTTCATTTTATTGTTTAATTTATGTAAGATAATATAAATACATAATGTTAATATATTTCGCAATAATAATTGAAAACTATTTTTAATGCGGATAGTTCTGCGACGATCGAAGTGCCATCTGGTAAAACTGTGTGTTTGTCAATATCGTGTATGAAATCGTTGTGTACAAAGTCGTGTATTCAATACAAAAATGCCAATTTTAGACAAACGTAAAGGAGATGATATTCTAGCACTCGTTCCTGCTTCAAAGAGAACGAAAAATGAGGTTGTTTTCAGTAGTAGAGAAAAGGCGGTCGTACAAAATGTAAGCTTAACCTTAATTCACAGTATTTGTTTAGTCGTTTATATAACAATTTTGTGGATTTTTTGCAGGGACCACCTAGAACATCTTCTTTGCTTGCTCCAATTATGCTCTTGGAAGGACATCAGGGAGATATATTTTCCCTTGAATTTCATCCTGAAGGACAATATCTTGCCTCAACTGGATTTGATCGACAAATTTGTAGGTTACTTATAAGTTTTGCTTCAGTGTTAAATTGATTGACAAAGTATTGATACATATTAAACAATAAATTTACAGTTATTTGGAATGTTTATGGAGAATGTGAAAACATCTCTGTAATGAGTGGACATAGTGGAGTAGTCATGGAATTACATTTTAGTCCTGACGGCAGTCATTTATACACTGCTAGTACAGATATGACACTAGGATTATGGGACATAGTTGCTGGAACTCGGATTAAGAAACTTAAGGGTCATACTTCTTTTGTCAATTCTGTCTCTGGCTCAAGGAGAGGTATTACTCAACTTTGTTCTGGTAGTGATGATAGTACAATACGTGTTTGGGATCCTAGAAAAAGAGGACAGTGTTATACATTAAATAACACATATCAGGTACTTTTCTTCATAATTTTTAAATCTAAGGTTAATTAAATGGTTGTATTACTTTTCTTTGTTATTTCAGGTTACTGCTGTTACATTTAATGACACAGCAGAGCAAGTAATAAGTGGTGGAATAGACAATGATATAAAAGTATGGGATCTAAGGAAAAATGCTGTTCTTTATAAACTCAAGGGACATTCCGATACTATTACTGGACTTAGTTTAAGTCCAGATGGTTCATATATACTTTCTAACGCTATGGATAATACATTAAGAATTTGGGACGTAAGACCATTTGCTCCTTATGAACGTTGTGTCAAAATTCTTTCTGGACATCAGCATAACTTTGAAAAGGTTCGCTTTCCAATTTTTTTTTTATATCATTGGTAACAAATGTCTTTATTCTAATAATTATTTAATAGAATCTTCTGAGGTGTGCATGGTCACCAGATGGTAGCAAAGTATCAGCTGGATCATCAGACAGATTCCATTACATTTGGGATACAACAAGTCGTAGGATATTATACAAATTGCCTGGTCATAATGGATCTGTTAATGACATTGATTTTCATCCAAAGGAACCAATTGGTAATATATAATACTATAAGTGTACAGTTATATCTTCTATCTATGAACACTAATTTTGGAATATGTTCTATTTCAGTTTGTTCTGGATCTAGTGATAAACAAATATATTTAGGAGAAATTGAGGTTTCTTAATAAAACTTTTGTACCCACTCTTATTTTTATATGTAAGGACTTGTGTAAAAATAAAATAGTTTAAGCACTTGTAACATATTTTCGGAGGCTCCTTTTTATATTTTCTTATACAATAAATAATGTGAATGCATCTCTTTTATTAACACAAACTTGAAATATCTGTAGACGTTCTATGATAGGGACTTTCTACACAAATATTTTAGATGGAAAAAATCTTTTTATTAACATATATTTTTATATTTTCACTAGCTTTTGGCAGTGACTGTACATTCTATGAAACATCGTATCCAATGGTCTGAAATACCGACCGTGTAAAAATGGTGAGAATTACATTACCAGGTCTTGCTAACAGTTTTGCAGCTGTATTGTAGATGGCGCTGGCATTGCAGAATATTCTATATTATCGATAGTAGAAAGTGAAACATTACTTATCCAATGAGTTGTGGAAAACTTTCGTGTGGGTTCAGAAGAGATCCGCAATCAATATTGTAGTGCAATTAACCCGATCCTATGTATCACTCCAAATTAATTCGAAAAACAACGTTTGCGAGTTAATAGAATTAGTTTGAATATTAATCTACTCAATATAATTTCCTTATTATAAACGTTACTTGTTTAAAATATAATTCCATCGATAGACGATTCATAAATTCGTGACTTCGATATAATTTCATAGAGTTCCATTTTCAATTTTCAATTTTTTCCACTAAAATCTTCTGTGATGTTTCTAGTATAATAAATATGTAGAGCAAGAAAAAATATGTAAAAATCTTTGTTAACGTAAAGTAGCAGAAGATTAGCAAGAAAATTATTACTAAATATTATTAATAGTGTTCTTAAATGATTAAAAAGATTTAGTTTCAATGAACTATTTTAATTATTCGATTATTATCACCAGATTATAAAAAGAAAATTCAAATAAAGATTTTACAATACTGTACCATTACTACGTACACAACTATTTATTACCATTATTATTACAATCGTTCTTCTCATGGAATCTTATTCCCTATAACGTTAAAAGGTTGAAATATCACTTCAGTTAAATCGAATGACGTACAGAATACAAATGTTTTAAAACGTCACGCGATCCTCTTCGGTAACTTTCAAGTTGAACTTGGAAAATTTTCAAAACATCCTTTCGAATTTTGATAATAAATTTAAATAAATAATATTTCAATAAACTTCTCGGCAAAAAATGCTCAATTTAATATCCTTCTCTAAGTAATGAATCCGTGCTTATGGCTAATTGATGACCGTGGGTAATTCTGTCTCACCATTCGGTGAAGTTCAAAGTCCAAAAGAATATTCATAACAACTCCTGCCGTGCATAGCGCACCTCAGTACTCCGAGGTTAAACGGTAACTTTTTGTGAAATTTTTATTCTTTTCTATTCGCCTAAGCTACTGCATTAAATGACGATTTGAGAATCAGTACCGGTATAGCGTTACGAGAGTGCGGTGGAGATAAGTCACCCTCCCCAAAAAATTAGGTATGTACCCTCGCATCTTCAAATTTTCCCAGGATTTTCTCATTTCATTGTTTTATAATATGTTAAATAATACTAATAATAAAAATTGTTTTATAGTTTGTTAACCCTTTACGGTTACGAATGCCGACATTTCGGCGTGATGAAACTGTTATATTTGGAATACCAAGTCGCAAACGAATGGTTGAATTACTCGAACAGCAAGAAATCAGCACATACTTTCCCTTCTTTCTATTGTTTAAGCAACTGGCATATAATATATTTTCATCTGCCGAAGGTTTCGTATACTTCGAAGAATCTTCGTCCGCAAAGGGTTAATAATACCTGCAATAAAGTAGCAAATATTGTATTCTCATTTCGGCAAAGTATAGGCTAAGTGGTTTGAATCACCCATTACAGTCGCAGCAAGTCGCAGTCAACTCCGTTACAGCGAAAGGGTTAATCATGATTCGAGTGATTTGTCTGTAGAATTTGTATTCATTCATTAGAAACTGTGACACTCAAATCGTAGATCATTCTTCGAGGTCTATTTGAAGAAATGGCACGGAAGATTTCACGATGCATCAATGATTATTAAGCGGATTAAATATTTCTGAACATATTCTTTTTATATGTAAAACGGTATCAATTAGAAGAATAAAATTAATTCAATTAGCTCTCTTATGTTCCCCAGTTGTCAATAGTGCGAAATGGTCACTTTGAAACATTAATAAGTATTCATTTCGAATCAAGACGCAGCGTCTCGTGCGAACATGTTAATCTAATTTTCCACTTGAAGCTATTCATCGCTGTAATGAGATTCTTTTCTTCAACAACTCGTACACTCGCTTAACACGCAAAGAAGTTGCAAACAAGAAAACGTGTCACGTTTTTGATTAATGAACTTTGCCGGTCAAAAATCTGGACTCGCGATTACGTATCTTATCTGTCGGCACGTATAAAATTGCGTCGACCATTGATACCTTGCTTTGCAGTCGTTCGAACATCTTTCAAATTGCAAACTTGAGTATTGATGAAGGTTTTAATCTAAAAAGGAAGAATTTATCAATTTGCGTGACATTTCTTGATTCGATGTCGAAAAATCTCTTCTGTTTTCTGCATTTTTTCGGTTGTTTCGTAGTGGGAATACAGTAAGGAGCTTGTAACGGTTATTTATCAGACCCGTCGTTTTCATCGTACACTATCAATCGCAAATCTACGGATTACATTGGAGAATTTCAATAGAAACTGAATGTAGGAAACATCGAGTTCGCATTGATTGTGTTCAAGATTGTGTTGCATCGCTTGATAGAGTGAGCCGATGAAAAATAGGTTCGTAATCTCGAAATTTCGTTGTCAAAGAAGTTCACGTGCTCCGTATTTGAATCGTTTAAATTGCTAATTCTTCGAAATATCCCTGTAGTTTTGAATTCTTCATTGGCTGGGGTAGAATTAATTAGCAATTGGAATAGAGGGTCCTTTATGGCTCCGGAATTTGCATAGAAACATTCTTGTATACATTAGAAGGAATCGATAACAGACAATCCCCAGTAAAATACAATATATTATTATCATATTTTCACGTAATAATCTGCAGTTCAGATGTTACGCATAAGAACAGCGGTGTAATGTGCAAAAAAACTGATTACCGTGTCGGTACATGTTACCGTGAATATTTCATTGAACAAAACCGTCTTCGTAACGCATCACACAATTTCAGCATTTAATTGTTAATCGTTCATTATTCTCCTCGGTACAGTTTCTTCGATTATATCTATAGAATCAGCAGGAAGGTTGACCATGAAATAATAACGCGCAATCGCCATGTTTGCGCAGAAATAATCGGCCAATCGGTTCAAGTCAATTAAACGTAAAAAATAACGGCCTCGAATAGCAACTTCATTGTTCCCCGGAGCAGTTGAAATCTCGTTGCAATTAAACGCCAGCGATCGTTCAAAATATTTTCATTGCGACCGGGCGGCGCACTTATCCAAATGTTATAATTATTCGGTTGAAACGCTATTAATTGGCATCATTTACGTTAACGAAGTTGAAACGTTTGAATACAAGAGGTCATTGGAAAATTCTTATCGGAAGGTGGGAACCATTGTGACGGCGCTTCTCTTAATTTATGTCGAGAAGTACCACGCGTTGCGATTATCCATGTTAGCAATAAATACGGTCAAGTTCGAGTGTAACGTCAATTGGACGTAGCGGCCGCATAGAGTGGCACCCTTCGCGATGCGCCACTGAACTGGTTCAATTATTATATTGTAATATAATTGCCGAAAAAGGTATAAGGCTATTATGTAATTTATATATCTATTCTGTGTTCATTGTCACTGTTTTGTGTACATTATTAATCGATGCCGATAAGAATAATCAAGCGTAGCAACGACACGAAATTGCGGACAAAGGTCTCCGCACCCTGATAACGGGTTTATTTTATTTATTTATTCCTCTTTTATCTGAAGGGTTTATCTTAAATCGATTTGAGTACGATCAAGAATGATATCCGACGAAAATATTCGTAATATCTTCGACGGAGCAAGGCGGTGTCATTTATATGGCTACGCTGTGCATCGATAAGTCGCCGATTTCTGGTTCCCTTTCAGAAACGTTGAAACTCTGTCCGAGAATATCAGTGAATTAATCAAATTTCAATCTTTCTTACAGCAAATTCGCTCGAACGTATAATCATATGAAGGCGTGACAAATTACAGAAGAATTACCTTGGAAGCTTGCCTATATTGAAGTTCTGCCAAAATGATTTTCATGATACTATTCTTCCTCATAACGGGAGTGATTCTCCAGTTCTTCTACATCCATTATAAGAAATTGGGAAGAACTATAAACAACATACCAGGACCGCTGCCTGTACCAATATTCGGGAACATGCATTTATTGCAAGTTTCTTCAAGTAAGAGCAAATTACTTCGTCACGTGTTTCTTATTAAATCCAAACGATCAGTGTATCAGCGTAAAAAGATCCATTTTATTTGCGTCTGACAAAATCCAACGAAGTGGAGATCTCTGTTTTAAAGAATTTAGAATAAGAAATCGTTATGTTTTCGTTGTTGCAGCCGAACTATGGAAAACCATCCGAAAAATGGCCGATCAGTATTATCCAATTTTTAGGCTCTGGACCTTTTCGATGCCATTCCTTAATATTCGTCATCCGAACGACATCGAAGTAATCAATTTTTCAATGCTCACTTCGCTTGAAAATAGTTAGAGTGGCGAAAACAACCTAATAATCATGAAACTTTCTTCATTCAGACGATCCTCGGGAATCCTACATCCATTCAGAAAAGCGTGGCCTACAAGTTTCTGCACCCGTGGTTCCAGACAGGACTTCTCACCAGCTCCGGTAACGTTGGCTTGGTTTGAAAGATAATCTACAAAGAGAATTTTAGAAACCTTCGACTCGAAAGCTCGTGCCGTCGATATTTGTCGAAAAGAATTCTCCCGTGGGTTTCATCGTTAACGCATCGTTGTCCGGCAATTCCATCCAGAAGCCATCTTTGTGAGACAATTCAAATGAACTTCAATATACTTTATTTACATATAATGAATCGAAATATAATTTTGAACATTTTGCTTTTGCAACGTTCTATATTGCCCTGTGTTTCAAAAATTGAAATAGCTAATGGAAGTGCAAACACGAGTTAACTCGTGACCGGTCAACAGTGTGTTAAAATCGATCTTCAGTCTTTCGTGTCATCTGGCCGAAATGATAACGTTTGTAATGTGGTTATTTATGGGCCAATATCGAGTGTCAACGGACGAGTGTGGCATAATTAATGAAATCGCGAAAATAACAAAGTTCCTTCATTTATCGTTTGTTTTTCACGATTCACCGCAGGTCGCAAATGGCAACAACGCAGGAAGATACTGACGCCAGCGTTTCATTTCAACGTGTTGCAACAGTTCACTGATATATTTATCGAAGAATCGGAAAGCATGTGTATCTCGCTGAGAAAAGAGGGCGGGCCGGTCATAAAAAATCTGTTGTCCCTAATTAGCGAGCACACTTTGAACGTGATATGCGGTAATTGAAATGAAATATCTTTACTTCTATTGCGGATATTTCTTTATCAACGTGGAAGGGTAAATTGATAGTCATCGGAGTTGTTATTGTTAGAGTAACGTGCCTATTTTTAAACAAGGCTCAACGAGATTCGGACTTCGCTCGTGATTCCAGATAAATTCGAAATATCGAAATTGATGCAGAGATAACTGATATTTTCAGATACCGCGATGGGAACTTCGTTGAAGGATAAAGGTCCGTTCCAAGAGAAATACCGGAACGCCGTGTACGAAATGGGTCGGACTTTAGTGTACAGGTAAACTGATACAGTTTCGAGCAAATGTTTCAATATTTATTACTACACCGTCAGATTTTCGTGTGTTTCCTTTAATTTTCAATAAATATTTATCGTCGGTCACCTAATAACTGCACGATAAATGAATATTTCTCATAGGTTCATTCGGCCATGGTTCTTTTACGACTTCTTCTTCTCATTATCTCCGCAAGGGTGGCTTCAGGCTAAGTTGCTGAAAATTTTGCATGGGTTTACTACGAAGGTAAAATGAACTGTCGCGTTGGAACGAATTATTCCACGGAAGTTCGATTATTCGATAGAAATGTACGAAAAGGAGGTGACGCATGATGTTACGATATTTAATAGATCATCAAGGAGAGGATGGAGTATCACGATAAGACGGATGGCAAATTCTTGACTGGCATAGATAACGAAAAGAAGAAAAGCGAGGACGACAACTTCTATGGAAGTAAGGAATATAACGAGACAGAGTTAATCGTAGAAATAGAAAAGTATCTGTAGTGGGATTATGGAACATTGCCGATCTGCTTACAGTTCGTAAAAGGAGACTAGCCATGCTGGATCTCTTGATAGCCGCGCACAGACGAAATGAGATAGATTTGGAAGGTATCAGAGAAGAAGTTGATACATTCATGTTCAGGGTACGTTGTTCATGCATATACCTTAACACTATTTCCACCGAAGGTGTCAGAAGACACTGAAATTTTCACATAAAATTCTTGTCTCAGTTTAATCATTGTTCCTCAATTGGATATTGGACATCTATAGTCAATTTTATAATCGTTATCGGAAAAGTCGAAAAGTCAATTCAGAATGTACAACTAAATTTGGAAAATAATTTTAAGTTAAACATTCGAATGTCTCTTGACACCTTCGGTAGAAACAGTGCGAAGAGAAATAATTATTTAATTTGAATGATCGTTTCTAACAGGGACACGATACCACGGCCACGTCTCTTTGCTTCTCGATTATGCTGTTGGCCGAACACAAGGAGATACAGGTGATTTTCTGTATTTTCACGGTCAAGCAGTCGTAAAGGATCATGTTTCATGATTTTATTCTATTTTCGCAGGACCGAGCCAGAGCCGAGGTAAACGAGGTGCTGGAAGCGAACAATGGTAAAATGACTATGTCCGCCCTACAAGATCTACCGTATCTCGATCGATGCATCAAGGAATCGCTTCGACTCTTCCCGAGTGTGCCATTCATATCTCGCCTACCGGAAATGGACATGACATTAAGTAATTACGTCGCATTCAACACTCGTCTTAAAGATTATTAAACGTTCGTCTAATTGCTTTCCTTCTGAAAGAATCTGAAACTACTTTTAAATTCAAATTGTGGTAACTGGAGACCAGGCTCATTGCGAATGTCAATAGTCACCTGATTTATTTAACACTAGAACTGCCTTTTGAACTGTCTTTTATCTTGCAATGATTAATATCTTAAAAGCATCGGATATTTAAAATGATCTTGAAAATAAACGGTTTCACTGGAATACTATTTTGAATATCTGGAGAAATCGAAAATAATTTATTGTTACACTTTTTATAGGGATCGCATATGAATCGTATTAAATGCTCGGTAGTTCTAACGTTAAGAATCACGTAAAGGGAAAGTTATATTTAATATATTTGTAGATATATACAAAAATATAATCGAGGAGGCTTCTGGGAAAAGGGTCCATAGATCTATGGGTACTTCTTCGGTAAATCCTCTGTTAACTAACTGTTCTATGTTTAAGAATGTTCTAAAATCTCATCTTTAATACGTTGAACATCACGGGGATCACCGGTGATCAACCAAATCAAATTACTATAGTTCACTTAATTAAACGATGATTATTTCAAAACATTTTTATGTTAAAACTACTGCTACCTAATGCGATTTCAAATTATATTTCTTCCATTTTGCGTATTTTACTCCACGAACTCGCACGGCATTCAACGTGTTGAACGAATTTCAATTCACTCGATTTGTTAATTGGCTTATGGATTCCTTTTCCAGAAACATCTTCAATCAGATGTCTACAAAGAAGGGTCTGCAGTGCGCTGATTGTTTATAGTTTAAACTTATGTTACGATATAACAGTGAAAAAGTTATCCGATCCGGTAGACCATAGTAATTTCCAGTAACATCTGTCACATAATGAGAATTCGATGGTTTCAGGCAATTTCCCAGTGCCGCGAGACACGATAGTTCATCTCCACATAATGGACGTCCACAGGGACCCGCAGTTCTGGCCGAATCCGGAAAAATTTGATCCCGACAGATTCCTGCCGGAAAATTCTCTGGGGCGCCATCCTTATTGTTATATACCTTTCAGCGCTGGCCCGCGGAATTGTATAGGTAAGAAACGCACGAATTTGTAAGAAAGTTTCAAAGTGCTTCTGTTATTCGACGAAGAAGAATGCTACGAAAGAATTGCACTTTTTTTCCAATGAAAACATAGTAATCCGCAGTTAAATATCTATGCTTTAAACATGAAGCAAAAATATCTCGGGACGAAAGACGTGTGCCGAACATTTACATTATCTTACAGTTCTCGTAAAAAGACGCATTAACATTTATGGTAGTGGGGAATTTTTAATCGGCGGACACGTGTAGATTTTTAAACGTCCAACCGAATGATCACCGGAATAATTATTTACTAACCTTCCCGATGTCTTTGACTGCTGGGAATTTTTTTACGGGGCACGTTGCATCGGGAGACATGCAAATTCAGGGTGAGAAAAAGTATCGGAATATCGTTTACCGTTTCGCTAGCTCGAAACTTCTCTGCACCTTTGACATCGGGGGTCGCGCGATTTGCATTCATGCACGCCACACTTGTCCCGAATAGTTTTTCTTTGTCAGATGCAATAATTTTAATGGGTTTCTATAATCAGACCGCGGGTTTTACGCGCCCATGAATATTCAGAACGGAATAAAATGAAAGGATAACTTCGTAAGTATTATTACCACTATTATTATTTTTCGTTTAATCAAATCCTCGGCGCGGCGGAACGAATGTTTCTTTTACCAGTTTTTAGTTACCTTCGAAGATTCATCTCGATGAGTTCGACTTCGCGCGGCTAACCGAAAGTTTTATGAATCGAGAATATATAAATTACAATGCCGGTAGATCTTACGTCGAACGATGCTAATTTGAAATTCAGAATAATACGTAGGATAATTAAAACAGGCGAGCAGGGGGTCGGTTTTTCCGATGTTCGGGTCAATTGTAATCGAAGATTTACAAGTCGGGGACAGGGATTATAAACTTGTTCGGTGTGACTGACTATTTCTTTTGTCACTTTTATTGCTATTCGTGCGACAATGCGGCACAATTGAGATATCAAGGTAGCTTAATGTATTCCATTTTAATATACTGTGTGACAGGATTGACGTACTTACCCGTTACATTAGAATTCTGATCAAACTTTCATGGTGGACAGTCACTCGTTTTCCATCTTAAAATATTCCCAGTTCTTTGGAGTAGTTAATTGATTCTTTGACATTTAAATAGCGCACTTTAAAAGTCGAACCGCGCAATTTTTAATTAGTTACGTGGAAGAAGGTCGATCTACATACCTCGAAGTAAGAAAACCATTGACTTTCACCGTTTGCCGGTGAACGGAATATTTTATATTAGGGGAAATTTTCCGTTTCGTAGTAACATTTCTTTCCTCTCTCGATTTCCAGGACAAAAATTCGCCATGTTCGAAATGAAAGCGTCGTTAGGACTATTATTGCACAACTTCTATTTGGAGCCCGTCGATTACATTAAGGACATAGCCATCGACACCGATCTGGTGATACGTCCAGCTCATCCGATACGAACGAAATTCATTCCAATCGAGAAAACGTGTTGATGTCGGCGATATTCCGGTCTTGTAACGAGCAACTGTTCCAGCAGTGCAATATCTTGGCGTGATGGCGTAGACAAAGTACATTTCATTTAACAGTTCACTATTTGTAGTCCGATCGTATAAATTATGAACAATACGGCAAGCTTATCGATCGCAAAACAGCTTCTACCGAAAAGGAAAAACGACGGATAACTCTGGAGAAACGGCGAGCAGGATAGAATATTTATTATTAACGTTTCTCTGAATTGCCAGAGAAGTTCCTATTAATATAATACGTTTTTGTGTGAATTCTTTCAAGGATTTCGCGTTGTTTTACACGAGCATAGTCGTCGGGTGTATTCAATTACTGCAAGACGTGTCGCATATAGCGGAAAGGTATACGAAAAATAAATGCATTTCGTATCGTGCAGCTTTCAACGGGCTCAATTGGCCTGTTAAGTATCAACAATTGTAAATTAAATGTTAATTATTGTATTCTTTATACATTTTCGAAGTAAAACGTTTAGAGAAGAATCAACGTTGTCCTTATTCCTTCCTCGTGCGTCGTATTCCCTTAAACGTATAATAAACTGTCTCGTATCGTAGAACAGGATTTCGGGAGAGGGGACGATCAATGAAACGCAAGTGTTTAGTTGACGATCACTTTTAATAGTTGAAATAGGAAAACAATGTACAGATACAGAATTTACATTCCTAGCCGACAAAAGTTGCTAGATAAAATATTAATCGTAAAAAATTAATTGAAAGTAAAACGATACACTTAACGAGCGGCTTATTCCCTTCTCTCTTTATCTATTCGCTTATCGGTTAGTCCTTTACCTAATTACGATGATTGAATTATTAATTATAATTATGTCTTCTGTATAGACACACAGGTGTGAATACATAATGGAGATTCTTAAAAGCTACACAATGTTTTCTTCTTTACTTTGGTTTTAAAGTAAGGACTAGTATGTTGAGCTTCGCTCTGTCTTTATGTGTAAAAAACGAAACGGCGGGTGCGCCCTGCAGGTTCATCTTCGTTATCTCGCGAGAAATCAAGAGAGCACGAGAAAAAGAATCAGAGAACGAACCGTCGACGCGCAAAGCAACGTTCTGTCGCGTTTAACAATTAGAACCGAAAATTCCGAACAGAGAAACGAAACGAAAAGGAACGGAGAATCATCGAGTACATCAGTGAGCGTCATTCCTCGCTCTACGCGCGGCGACGTTATTCGGACAACATGATCACATACGCTATGAGCACAGTACAAGTTAAGTTACGCGTATACACTGAATACATGGTGACACGACGAACGTTACATAATAATCAAGTATCCCTTTCCTTCCCTTGTGTGGATTACGTTCGCACCTGGCGTGTCCGTGTGCGATCGTCGCGGAGAAGACAAGTGAAACGCAAGTTCGCCCGGATCAGTTGCCAGACTAAACGTAAAATCTCTCGTGAGAAGAGAATGTCACGCTGAAACGTTCGGCTATCGGAGCGTTAACCTTAGAAAAACTAACGAAACCAATCAAAAAACAATCAAACTCCACAACCCCTCTCGTGTTAAGCATTCAAACAAAAATGAATTGCCGCTCGCGTCTTCGGGATCAGCATCGAAGCATCATCATCGATGTATCTCTAAAAAGAGGAATCACCAGAAACGAAGATACGGAGAAATAATTTCTTAGTTTTTCTAGAGTCAACCACTGCCGTAGAGGTCTCAAGCGAAATTCAACCAGCCCGAATATCCCGGAATCAAAGGGGAACGCTAAGGTCGCGACCGCGGATGTTCGTATCGCGCGCGATACATCATCCCGCCTATCGTCGCGAAGTAATTAATGAAATAACGACAAAGCAACGTTCCGCGGTTCGGTCGCAAGACGAATCGCAAGGCAAAGGGTTCGGATCGCGACACAATGGTCTTCGCGTAGCGAGCGGACCGTCTTCCCGGGGACAACAATCGCTCCCGGAGACACTGGGTGCGGCTGCAATCTCGCGCATATCTAATTAAATGTAACTGCGATGAAGGCACGAGGCATGTGTTATTGAATCTTGTGCGAAGGGTGCGGTGAAACGTGCACAAGAAGGGATCACGGGGTAGGTTTCTGTGTGTGTCTGTGTGTGTGTGTGTGAGTATGTGGGTGGCGGTGGTGGTGCGTTTACGTGGGATGCGAGGGATGGGAGACGGTGGGTTTAATGTTTGCCGACGAGGCATCGCCAAGGTTCGCGGTTCGCGCGAATAGAAACGCCGCTCCGCTGACTAATTTCCAAAGTGAACGAACGCCAGAACGTGATCGATGATTTACACAGACGACAAGCGAAGCTCACAGAGTATAATGTATACCATTTAGAATTGGAAATGTAATTTAGAATTAGAATGTAAAAATACTATGTATATATACAAGTAATTAATGTACCAATCGCTGGTATCCTTATAGTTTATATTACACGTTTGTCATTCTCTCGAATCTCTTTCGCACTTTCGCTCGCTCTCTCTCTCTCTCTCTCTCTCTCTCTCTCTCTCGCTCTCTCTCTCTTGCTCGCGCGCGCGTATTCTCCTTCGAAACACATTCTCCTCCGTCATTATCTCTCTCGCTCTTTCATAATAATAGTATATACTTGTCATGCGTACGTCGGAGAGCAATCTTTCCCAGTTACTTTTCTCGTGAATTTCCATTTTCTCGGTGTTTATCGGTTGTACTTAAAGAACAGCGACGATTATTCCAAAGAATTACATAGTTTTCTCGTTTTCCGTTACGACTGCAATTGTGAACTCCGATCTGAAAATTGTAGCCGTCTTTGAGCGCGACCCGCGTAAACGGTTTAACGTCCGTGTCTCGCTTATTTAATCGTATTTATTTATTTATTTTATACATCGAGAATGTCGGGCACGCCGCGCCCACTCGTTCCTCCCTTTATCTCGGTTTAAATTGTTGGCACACAAACGGAAGCAATATATATCCGATGATACGCTTAACGATTTATGTGAATGATCGTTTCCGCTATTCTTTCGTTTCTTTTTAGCTGCGCACGTTTCTTGACGGCCGTGGGAATCCGTTTCGAGCGGCTCGAAGCGGATCTCGTCGTGCGGTTTCGTTAAAATTTTGTGTTTCACGCGACCGATGCCCGACTTGGAAATTTCGCGTGCGAACCTCTCTCTTTCTCTTGTTTGTTTGCTTGTTTTTTCTTTTTGTTCGGTATTTTTGTATCGGTCGAAACGAAAATTCAAACGCAGCCGGTGAATTCCGGGTACGCTTTCCGACAATTTTTGCTCTTGCTTTTGTTTTCGGATGCGAAGTGTATCGAATGGAATTTTTCGAAAAATGCTTTCACACCGTACCAGAGATTTCACTGAGCGACGAAAAATCAATTCTCCGCGGTCGGTGATCGGGTGAAACGCAAATTATCCGTTGTCGAGATCAAGGTACACATCGATCCGCGTTACGTTCTTGCGAGTATACGAGAAATCGAGTCGAATATAAAATCGAGTCGTTAATATGAACACCATTTGTTTAAAAAAACAAAATCGATTGAACGGCTCAGTGTTTGGATGACCAGTCTTCGCCTCTTGTGGTAAACGGTAAATTTTGGAACGGATAAGTTTTCTTTCTTTTCTTGTTTGTTACGATAAAACTTGCGACGTCACACTTTCGGCGATTTCGAAAACTCGCGGACTCGA